AATAAAACGTTCAATTTAAAAGTTTTTCTATTTATAAAAAGTTTAGTTCTTGTATTATCTTAAAATTTAAACCCGATTGAAAATTCAAGGATAGGAGAAAAGTTTTTGATCAATATGTGAAATTTTTGAGAAGGAGCCAATACTTTTTTGACCATTGTATATATGATTCCTGATTCTATTTCATATTTACTGTACCCGTCTCAAAATTGTCCATGGCTTGTCTATGAGCTTTCTCATGTTTCTCCCTCAACAGCTCCACAGTATGATTGCCTTGCAACAAGTCTTTGAAGTTTGGCTAAAATTATAGGCTAAAATTGTAAGCAATTTGTTGTCTTATACATTCGAAAGCCGTTTTAACCTTTGTAAGAATAACTTCAAATTTTCACCCACTCGCATCATTCTCTCGTACTTATCATAGCTGCCATCTACAGCTTCACTCATTTGTCGATCCCGAAAGCGGTCTCGATTCGACTTCGATCTTTCAGCACACCGATCCTAAATGTTATCACTACAATTGTAGCATATCTAGAGATCCGATTTTGAATTCCCTCTCAATGAACTAACTTACCTCCAAATATCTTTTGAACTCAGCAAATACTCGTTCCTTTTCTTCCTGACTCCCAAAAAGCGTTTTGCTGTTGTACACCTGAAAACGGTTACAAAATGTTACGTCAAATGCAATCACATTAATCGATGATGTCACAAGTTCTTTCAGTTGATCATCAAACTTTTGTGGCACAACCGAGCGAGAATTGTTCTTTTTAACCAACTAAATAGAAAGAGTTTTGGAAAACGACTGATCAAAAACCTCGTCATAATCAGAATTAAACTGTTCAATCCCAGCAGTTCGTGCCCTTTCAAAGTATAATTCTTTCGTCGCCTAAAATTTGTTTCTATACAAATTCCTGGAAATCTTACGCTAAATGCCGTGCCGATTCCTTTGAGATCAGCGTTTTTCAAGTGTGCAACGAGATTCTAAAAGGGGTTTTCGTTAAAACCTTTGCATTCAAAGTCATGATAATTTTATTTTTACCAACCTTGACATATTCTTGAAGGGTGAGCCCGGTGAGTCGAACGCCCATCACTAATTTTGGCTCCAGATTCTTCAAGATGTCATTTGCGCAGTCGCATAGCCCGGACAAAAACTCTTCTCCACAATCTGCAACAATAATATGTTGAGATTTTATATTTTCTTCATACCTCCAGCATTGATCACTCCACTAGCGTTGATCACGTGTTCAGCTGGCCTTTTGACCATAAAGCATTGAACTTTCTCAAAGCTTCTGAACAGCCCTTGTACAAGGCGGTTCACGTCATGGGCATTCATTGATGCATCCTTAAATACGCTTGAGTTTTACCACTAAATGTTACTTACCCGAATATGAGACAAATATTCATTTCCTTGCTCAAAACCAGAGCAATTCGCGTCACGAACCATTAGAAGGAAATTCTATTTTGAATGGAATTTTAAAATCAAAAAGTTTTCACCCACTTGTCCGATCGCTTTATCATTCATTCTCGAATACTCAATGAAGAGATTAAGCGCGTCCAAATCTTGCGCGTCAATCTGGCTCCTGGTGTTGAAAATCTAAATAGTAATGATATTTCCCATCTACTTATAGTTAGGTAAACCTTGATCGAAGACATCAACAATGAGATGACGAAGATGATCGCCGAGTGAGCTGGATTTGTTTGACAATCATATGTGCCTTGGGTGTCCATAAGGATTACAGCTATCTAAAGCCATGCAATTTTTGAAAAGATATCAAATAAAGGATTTATGCTCACATCTTCGCCATTCTTGTCCTTGTGAACGAAGACTTTCGGCCATACCATAATCCCAGCGGTGTGCCGACTCCATCCACCCTTGAAACGAATCCCGTTTTGACCACTGAAAATGCTTTTGAGCTGTATAACACACTTCGCATTTTATTGGATAGTTTATTTAATTCAAATCTGTGAATACCCAATGTACTCTGTTGTCTTAAAACTGGCAACTCCATTCTGTAAACCCTTCAACACGATGTTGTTCCAAAACGTCTTCCCGCCACGGAATTTCCCCGTCGTCGAGATGATTGCAATCTGTAGACAAAAAGATTAAATATATTTTACGCCCTCTTTGAATGAGGATTCATCTGAAACTAACAGGCAATGATCCCGCTTGTTCGCATAGACTTTCCAGCAGCGCTCGATTGAAATGAGTTTGTCCTTCCTCATCGATGTCAAAAAGTTGCTCCAAATCAATCTCGATAGCATTAGTCTGAATCAGATGAAGTTGAAGTTAACATTTTTAGATAATCAAATAAATTTATTAACTTACTTAACCTGAGCCTTTACGGGTTAAGTAAGCCAAGATTCAGGTTAAGTAAGCTAATAAATCTGTACCTGTTCTTCGATCGAAGCTGCAGCGCTTGTAGCCTCTTCGAACTTGGAGGGTGTAGGTGATACTTCAGCCTAAAAACGTGCACTGAATTTTAAAGTTAAATGTGTAAATACTAGCAAACTTTGGTACTTTATAGTATCGTGGAGGGCTGTGTTTCAATTCTCTAGAGTTACTCTTTTAGAGGCATTCAAGGAGAGGTCTGAATTCAGGACTGATTCTCGTTAAAACCAAATTCTCAACAGGTAGTTATAGTTATATAATTTTTGATGAATTTTCATGTAGAAACGATTAAAGTTAATTGGTTTATCAATAATTTGTTGGGTATTAAATGATGAAATTAGCTTTCAGGTCGTTCAGTGCCGCATAACGGCACCAAAAGCGCAAAACACCCAGTCGCTCTCCGCTCCTTCCCCTTTGAGGATTGGAAAAGGGAAAGGCCTATAGATTACGCTTTCGGGGCTTTCGGGGTCGGGGAATCAAGTGGAGCCATTCTTTTTAATGAGTCTATCAATTTGAACGTTTAATCGATCCGAATTTGAATCCCTCCTTTAAGAAGGAGGGAGTCTCTGGTGCAAATGACTTCTATGCCTATGCTTCAATGGCTTATTCCCAATATTATTGGGTTGGTGGGTATGAAATATCCAGGTGGAAGATTATCAATAGCCACAGCAAAAGTTGCCAAAATTTCGAAATAACAAAAGGTGAGGAAGCCCGGTTTCATTGTTTTTGGAAAAGTGTTCCTGACTTTATCAGTTTCAAGCAACAGCACCCACCTCCGTTTTGTTTACGAGTTTAGGGATCAATCGGAAAAATAGAGAGATTTCATACCCACCGACCCAATATTTGAGTTTCATTTACAAATACTTACCAGCTTTTGTGTGCATTCGGCGCTTGCGTCGTTCAAAGGCTGAACAAATGGTTTTTCGACTAATTCCACACTCGACTCTTCAGCGATTTCCTCAGAGAACTAAAGCCCTTTGAATTGAAAGCAAAGAGCCAAAATTAGAACTTACCTTGTCTTTCAAAAGATACTCAACTTTATCCAAGGCTTCTTTAACGTTTTTCAGCTTTCCAATTTGTTCAAACAAAGTCTAAATCGTTTCAGTTATAGCTTTTCTTGAACCACTTACATCATAGGCTGCTTGTTTCGCTAGAGCCCTCATTTCATGGGGTTGATCGCGAAAACCATCGATCTTCTGTGAATTTTATTAGCTTATTTTTGAAATAACTGCTACCGTTGTAGTTTCCAAATATCCTTGAACCAAAATATCAACCGAATCCTCACCTTGGTTCAACTCATCCTAAATGACAATTTGAAAACACACTATAAAGATGATTTATTTATTACTAAACTACAGCACCTCTTCTTCATTGTAAAGAGTCTCAATGTCGCTACTCGTTGAGCTTTCCGAGCGGCGTCGTGACATTCTAAATCAAGCAAATGCAAAGGTAAGCCTCACAGTAAGTGAGTACTGTAACTTCAAAAATATTTGCTGGAATGAAAAGGGAATAATCAACTGGGTTGCCTTCTTCGGTTATAATAATTTTAGGGTTGAAGATAAGGCGTTTTCTGGCATAAGGAAAATGTAAAATGGTGCAATTTTTAAATGTATTTATGGACTATCAGGTGATTCCATAGAGTTGTTTTTATGAAAAATAGGCTCACTGATGAATAGAGAGCAAAGTGTAAAAATTTAGCAATGCAAATGTGAAAACTAAAGTCAACAAGTTGTTTTTGCGATTTCTTTCCAGTATATCTTTACACATGCAGTATTTTCTCTAATAGTAGTTCCCTAAGCTTCGCCTAAATTGCTCGAAATCTCGAAAGCCGCTTATCAGAACCTATCGGTATGGGGTCGGAAAATGTAGCTGACGATGAGATCTTGTGGGGGATTAGAGTGTTGAGCTTCTACGAAAACTTGAAAACCGTAAAATAGTCATCAACTTGGCTCGCCGGGGTGCAATAGTTTTAGAGAAAATATGGCATTTCCAGCTTTACCCCTTTCCTTTTATGCGCCTTTAAAATTGCACAACAAAATACAGCCGCCGCCATAGCGAAAACAATTTTTTATAGGTGATAAAGTTAAGATTTTCGTAAAGACAAGGCTTTCGTATCTCTGCCCATAGGCAGCCAGTTCTAAATAGAATTAGACTTTTAGGTTTTTCAAATTTTAAGACCTATCCAAAAACTCTCGGTCCCTTAAACTCACCGTTTATTTTATTTCAAGCGCCCTTTGCACCCACCGAATTTTCTTACATCCTAAAATTTTGTTTGAGCGAAGATAAGGGAGTAATTTCTTGCTGAGAAAAATGGCTTTCGGGCATTTCATGCATTTAAATTTAAAGCCATTTAAAGCCACTTTTCAGGTGTTTATCCCATAATCACGTTTGATAAAAATGCTGTAAATGATATTAAAAGATGTCAAGAAAGCTATAGTAAACAAAAAACAAATGGCCAAGATGAGTCACATAAAGCTTTTGTTGATTTTTCAAAAATGACAACGTCCACATAAAGAATTGCCCTTATGGGATTTTATTGCAATTCACAGAACCGTTCACTTTTTAAAATCTATCGGTTGTTTTCACTTTTCGCCTTACCGTCACAATTTAGAGCGCCATGGAAACAAACGCTCTCAAGCAAACCGCTAAAGAAGTAAATGTACAAGTGGAGGCTTTCGAGAAATTTGTAAGGATTTTTGAACAAAATGGGGTAAGTCTTCTAAAAATACAAAAAAAAGAATAATCAATTTTAGCAAACACAAGAGGAATATTCCGCTAATTTGCTTTCTGAAGTGAAAGAAAGTTGCGAAGCATTCGGCATCAGAATGGATGTCAACAAAACTCCAGTAGACTATCGATCTTTTTTCATGAATACTCTGATGGTCAAATATGCCAAGATTCTCGAGGGAAAAGCGAATAAGTCAAACAATGATGAAGATCAGGTTACGTAGCTAGTTTTAGTGTATTTGTTACGTCCGTTATTGAATTGAATTCGGAACGGACGTCCGCTAGTGAATCATCCAACATACACTTTAACGATTTTTGTTTTTGTAATGACCTATGGTTAGCAAGTATAATTTCAATCTCTATTCAGAAAATTTCAAATTCATTTAATTTATAATTTGAATCCTAGCTAACTTGCGCGTTTCGCATTTCTATTTTATTTTTCTTTATTTACTTTTTTATAAGTTGTGCTTGTTATGTTTGTTTTCAATCATTTACATTTCTTTTTGTCTTTTTTTGTTTTTATTTCATCATTTGTTACCAATACAATTTTGAAGTTTGATTATGGATGCTCAATAATCAAAAGAAGAAAAAATGCATTAGTTTTGAGGATTTAGTAGAAGGGTTTGGAAATTATTGAAATATTCAGGACGATTCAGAACGACAGGGGATTCAGATGTCCAATTCAGAACCGGACATCCTTTATTGAATAGATTCAATAACGGACGTAACATATAATTGAACATTCTGTCAACCCATATATCATAAACGTTTTCAGCAAACTCTCTACCAAGAAATTGATGAAAGCGAATGCACTGCTGAGGAGAAATTGAAACGGAAAGTTCTTTACTGGGAAGATGTGAGTGAGGTGGGTGATGGTTGTAAGCAGCCAACGTCTTCTGTTTCAGCACAACCTCCAACAACTCCAAATTAACTATGAATGGGCCGATCAGTTGTTTTTGAACAAAATAACGCAAGTGGGTCACTTTGTCTTAAAATCATCGTAAAAGATCTCAGGAACTAGATCAAACCTGCATGCTGACTGAAAAAATACTCCGTTCAACTCTTGAAAGCTCTAAAATTCACAGAGAGCTTTTTCTCGCTTCACTTTTGGACCATGATCGGGATAGTAGATTGATTGAAAAACTAGACGAAATACTGTGGAATCAATGGCAAGAATTTTTCATGAAATTTGCGGTTAGAATTTTCCTCAACGCTCAACCAAAAGCTTTTCAGGGATCCTTCACTGTCAGCCGAAATAAATCATTCTATGAAAGAATGATAAAGACATTGTGTTTGGAGGTTTCAACCACGGCAGAAGCCGACTTTCTGGAATCTCTGAGAACCGAGTCTCTGCCTGAAATTTGTGCCAAACCCGCGATTGCCGATGACTCAAGGAATCCGATTAGCAAACCTCAGTTTTCGTCATCTCAAAATCTGAGTTATTCTTGCGAAACTAATTTGGAGCCATCAACGATGAATAACGCTTCTGCGGTAATTAGTTCGAGCACGGAAACCAGACGCAGACCGAGAAAGATTGCTCCGTTTGTTTCTAGTGTTACTAGGGACGCAGCTTTTCCTTTGAAATCACTTCCATCCATTGATTCACCAAGTGATTCTACATTTGGCACAGCTAACTCGACACCAAAAGGGACCGCCATCATTATTTCGAGATTCTTTGCACAATTGTTCACTTTCTTTAAGCTTTGTCTTCCGTGTCTCAAGCGAAAAACGAACACTAAGAAAAAGTTAACTGATAATGAGTAAGTGGGTTACGTAATTAATCCTTTTTGTGCCATTTGTGCAATAACTTCCTTCACAACTTTTTATGAAATATTTCTGTAGATAATTGCTGTCCACAGGCTGCCTTTAATCCGTCCTAATATTCCGTTCCAGGCTCATATTTCTGTTATTTGTAGACCAAAAAGATTAATTTAATTTTTAAATGAAAATTCATATCGTTTTCTGTATATGTTCAAGATTTCATGGCCATAGCATCGATAGATAATTTGTTATGTACGCTTAAAAATGGCTAGTCAAAAAACAACGAGCCGCGATTCAAATTTGAAATTTTTGAAAAAAAAAGTCCACAAAATAATTCTTTCCCTAGAGTTTTTTTAAAGTTTTTGTTATGTTTAATTAGATTCAGCTCAAAAAAATATTAAATGCGTTAATATTTTCTATAAGATCATCGTTAAAGGATCCCTTAAATTTGAATTATTTATTTTTTGACTAGCCATTTTTGAGCGTTCATAAAAAATTATCTATCGATGCTATGGCCATGAAATCTTGAATATATACAGAAAACGATATGAATTTTCGTTTAAAAAATAAATTAATCGTTTTGGTCTACAAATAACAGAAATATGAGCCTAGAAAAAAAAGGACGGATCATTTCTGGTCCCCTGTATACTTATCACATTTGTACTTTTATGGTTTGCCTTCCAGTTCTAATAAACTTTCTTTCTTGTTGTTTCTTTATCTAAAGCTTGTCAAAAACTTTTGATATCTGAAATCCTGTCTATTGATAAGTGCAAAAGTTTTAGTTGAATAACATAGTTTAGAATCATTTTATTCAAAACACAAGCAGATGGAGGCTTTGGTCACTTTTGAGGATGATTCAATGGTTTTTCCCGAAGACGTGGCCGAAGAAGCAATTTTTGACTTTCTGCGGAAGGAAAGAACGAGGATCAACAAAGTTTTTAGAAAAACGGAAAATTAAGCAGAAAATTTTAGATTTATGAAATTAAAGAACTGTTGGAAAATGGCAGCATCGAATCTGCAGTGGAAGAATTCTCAAAAACGTTTTCGAAAGAGCTTACACGTGAGGGGAAACAGGAGTTGAGTCAGAAAGTTACGGTAAGTCTCATCGTTTGAAATGAACTGGATCGATTACTCAAACTCAAGAGTTTGTTTCAGAACATGGTAACGGATCGATTGTCCTACTTAAAAGAATTTAACTTGCCAAAAATCTTGGATAAATATCGAGTGATTCATAGAGACAAATTGGAGGTGAGCTGGCACTGGATTTAAGCATTTTATAGAACTTGAGGTGGTTACAGTTTCCATTTTAGAACCACTTTATCCGATTTGATAAAGTCCCAGATTCTCACGTTCTGGAAGGAATAAAACTTGAAACGGAGGATGAATTGAAGGCTGAATTGAGATCACTTCAGTTTAAAATAGACGAAGAAACGATTGTTTTACAAAGATTTGAAGAAATCTTGCAGGTTTAAGGACAAGCTGGATTAACAAATAACAAAATACTCAATTTTAGACATCGGCTAGAACTTTTCTTCAGCATAAGCAAACGATCTTGGATCAGAGAAGCAACTTTGAAAATCTGAAGAGACAACAAGTGGAAGTGCTTGATAATGTGAGTTTAGAATGTCGAGACAGAGAAAAATCTAGATTTTAGGGTGGTGAAGAATCTTGGTCATTTGATGCAGATGATCAAGAGACAAAGCAATTAGAAAATGGCGATTCGAAATCGATGATTGAAAAAGAATTGGTTCACCAAGAAGCAGCTTTCAGAGGATTTCTAGCGGTCAGTCAATTGCACGATACATGCTTACTTTAAAGCTGTCAAACAATTCCTTATCTGAGAAAAATATTTTAGCGGAGTTCCTGCTTTGACCGGGACGTATTAATGGAAGAGAAATCACGATCAATTTTGGTTTTTGCCGAATACCTCCAGTCACAAGAGCTTGTGAATGGGCAGCGAGAGTTCTACGCAAAAATTTTAGATGCAAAGATTGAGGCATTGATTGCTCAACATTTGGCCAGGTTTGTTAGATGAACGATTAGAGTTAAAATTGACAATAGAAATACTTCAACATCTCCTGTTCTATCAAATCAACAAGAAACTCGGCCACGCGTGAGGTAATGAATTTATTTGATTGAAAAAGTTTTATTTGTGATTTTCAGAGAGTCAAGCATCTGGAAGAGGATTTGGGGTGAGTATAAAGTGTTTTATTAAACTTTCTCTCTCAAATCTCGCCTTAAACGAAGAGACTGAATTAGGACCGATTAGACCCGAGATCCAGTTGCTAGGTTCAATAAAATGAATGGTTCCAATCGTTCCCCCGACCCCGAAAACCCCGGGTACAAATTTACATTTGAATATCTTCTTTTTCAAATCCAAAGAAAAATCCCCGTGTAAAATGATCGGCGAGGTGTTCTTTGTGTGATCCGCTAATCCTTCACGGTCTGGCAAACCGCCCTGGTATAGCTGCTTCCCCTTTCCGCACATAGGAAAATGTTTTTATTCAAATTTGTTTGTTTTTCGGCAGATTTTGCACCTTGTTCAACTCCCATCCCCCAAACTGACCATACTGATTCTGTTGAAAGTTTTAAACCCACTAATTGAGTAAAGTAGTTTTTCCAAAGTTTATAAACAATTCAGATTTAGCTTGGATGCGTCTGCGGCCGATGTTCTCCGAGAAAATCACAATCGATTAATAATAACTTAAGAAGCATTTTTTCTTTTATTTGTTTCTTAATTAATCAAGTTATATCTTTGTCTTTCCGTGTCATTGTCCTGTCGAATTTCCATTTCTGCTTCTTGTTTTTGGAAAACTTTCATGGTATACTAATAAAGTGAAAATTTATTTCATAAGTCAAATAGCAAGAAAAAATGCGATCCAAACTTATTGAAAGAGCGATACAGTTAACCTAAAAATGGTATTTATTTTTAGTTTCTTTTTTCAATTAACTCGTGAATGATCTTAAACAAATTCCTGCCAGATTGACTAATCCATCGAATAATGGTAGCGGTCTAAAACAACACTTTTAAAAACTGTTTATCTCAAATTGATTATAAATAAGTTACTCTTTCTGGACTGGAGACATTGTGGCTTTCAACGACTACCAGATCGGAGCTGAATGAAATTTGAAATTGATGCCCATTTCCCCCCGTTTTACCTCGTTTCATTAACAGAAAGTTCACCAGCAAGCAGACTCAGATCCTTCCTCAAACTCTCTCTTTTAATAGCAATCAATTCTGAAGCAAATCCTTGAACTTCACAATAGATTTCAAATTCTTGCAGAAAGTCTTCAATGGATTCTTGTAAAATCATAGCTTTGTTTTGAAAATCCGTCAATCCCTGTAATAAGCTGAGACTTGAAAGATGCTGAACGACTCACCTGTTCAAATGAATGAAAAACAATGATCTTGTTGTTGATATATTTATCGATTAAAGTCTCTTCACTAATTGGCTTCTCGAGGTCAAGATCAGCCTCCATTTTGAGATTCCGTAAGCACCTCGGCGATTCATAGTTTGTCTCAACATCCGATCTTCGTTCGCTCGTTCTCAATTCAGGATTCAATTGATTTTGCGAATGAATCAATTTAAGGATTTCAGCTTGAAGTTGAGCTTCCAACTCTTCACGAGTATCGTTTTGTGGTAAAGGATTGTGGCCTTTGTCATTTACAGTCTCTTCGTGTTCTCCGAATGCCCAGAATTGCACGTCATCAATGTTCCTATCCTCCGTGTCTAGTTTGTCAAAGGTTTCCACGGAAAATGGTTCGGTCGCTTGTTTTTTACCCTGAAACGAATGATGAGTCAATTTGGGCCATTAAATCGACGTATAAACTTAATTTGTATGGGTTGAGTTCTAAATGGCCACTTATTGTTCTAAATGGCCATTTATTGCATGAATCTCTTTGCAACTAACCGAAATATCGAGCTGTTTTGTAAGTGTATTCAAAAGTTCTGTTGCCACTCTCCTCTCACGGTGAAGTCGTAAAGCCAAAAATGAAAATTTCTAAAAAAAAACTAGTAAGCTTACTCAATCCAACCAACTTTGAATTCCTCCTTTGCAAACAGTATCAACTCATCTGTCTTTTCTTCATCAACTCCCGTTCTCTTGAGTTCATCAGAAAACAGCACAAAACTCAAGCGGATCTCTTCCGGACAAATTTCTTCAACGTTTCTTTTACAAGTTTCAATCTAAAACATTTTTCCATGAAAATTTCCAAAAGGTTGTTACCGCAAGAATTTTCTCTCGTAGTTTTTTGACAAGTTCGTCAAGGTACTTTTTCAAATGTCCTTCTCGTGAGAACAGAAATTGATACTCCAAGCGATCCTAAATTTTACTTGATTCTTAGTATTTACTGAACTCAATTTTGAACCTCTAGTCTGGTTTTGATCGACAAAAAATCACTGTCAGTAAATCGATTGAGGGTTTTCACGAATTCGGCAACAATGAGCTCGATTTGATTCTCCCTTTTCAACTTCAACAACGTTTCGAACTCAAGCTAAATGTTGAGTTTAGTTGAAATATTGTAAACATTCTAAATCACAATCTCTCTTCTATTTCTTACCTTTTGAATTTTTGAGAGTTCACGGGACAGAAATTTCTCAATGTTCAGTTGATCGCCTTTTTGTGCCGCTTCTTCTTTCAGCTCCAACTCTTTGACAGTGAACAGTTTCTAAGCATTTGAAATTGCTATAGATTAATTTACTATGCAAATTTTACCGTGATCTTAGAGCTAAGCAATTTCTCAGCTTCAGCAAAATCTTTAGGATGAACAATTTCTTTCAGAGCATTAAAAGCTTCTCTTCTTCTCTCTTCGTAAATTTGCAGATAGTTTTCCTGTTTAGCTTTCTAAATGTAAGTTTTTTACGTTTTGGCTTTAAGATTACCAAAAATAGCCCTTCAAAAACAGAAAAAGCCTTATTTGAGGCATAAACTGCTGTGGCTTCTTTGATCAACTAAACTTTTTGGTAGTCTGAAACAGTTAGAAATATTTTCAAACCTGAACAGAGGTCCTATCAAAAATGTTATGCTTTGATTGAAGAAACTCACAGACTTTCTAAACTTTGATTTATTATAGAATTGGAAAAGTATTACCTTAGCATAATCTATAGTCTTTCTCATTGGCTGATTGTCCAATGATTTGGATGAAGTGAGCAAACTTTCTTTGACAAGATTCAGTTTTTGAAGCAAAGGTTGATCTGAATGTTATAAATTAAGGAATTGATTCAAAAGTCTAGTCAAATTCTAGGTTTTCTTTAACCCACTCACCTTCTAACTCAATTTGAATTTTCCCATTTGCTCGACGAATTCGATCTGAGGCTGGCGGAGCACAAAAGCATTTAATTAAAGAAAACTTCGATCTCAAGGAGGCAGAAATTTTTTGTAATTTCTTAGACTGTGATGCTTGTAGCTAAAAGATTTATGAATGAGGTTGCAATTGTTTAACATTAACTCACCCAAAGCTGATCTAAGAAAATCTCATCTTTTGAACTATTTCGCGCATCACGTATCAAGAAGATCAGTTGCTAAAAAGAATGCTTATTTTTAACGGGAATCTGCTACTTTAGATAAGAATTGCACTCCGTTCATTGAAGAAACCATTTCTGTGAACAAATGGAGATCCTGTAGATCATCTCCTCCAATGTTACCGCGAAGATTGATTATCTGAAAAGTTCTCCTGATTCTAAAACTGTATTTTTCAAATTGTCGCTTTTAGTTAATGAGTCGAGTGCTTCAATGCTTCAATTTGGATTTGGAGCTTCAATGACTCGGGGCTAGGCTCGCGTCGAATCCCAGCAACCCTGTGGGCAATCCCTCCGCAGATCGCATCCGGAAGCTTGCTTTTAAGCCAATCACCGCTTGCTTTACAAGCGAAACAATAAAACGGACAAAAAACAATGTTTTAGAGCTTCTCTAGAGTCCTGTCACAAAAAAATGAATCAAGGATGACGTTTGCTGAAAGAATAAGATAAAACGTTGCGACGCTCTACGAGACATAAGAAATTGAAAAGCACGGCGAAAGCATGCGAGGAAGTAGAAGGGTCACGAAAAGACCCCAAAAAAATCAAATTTGGGTAAAGTTGGAGAAAAATGCGACAGAATGGAGTGCAAAATAGAATTTAGCCTTTGGCAGTCAAATGAAAAGAGCCGTGTTTTGGGTTTTATTTAATTAATGCTTTGAGATCAGCAAGTCTCACCTGAATATCCGAGACCAGTAGACTGAATCCGGCAATCCAAGCAGAGATTTTTGGTTCAGTTTGTAAATCAAAGGTGCCCTGGGTGTCCAAGTAAAAGACTACATGCTAAAGATCTCTTCTAAGTTGTTGAAGAATTTGAACTCACATCATCCGACAAGTATTCGGGCTGAGATGAAATAAAGATTCCCTTTGTACATCTGTCATAACCACTTTGGAAGAATCCTCTGAAATTTTAGCTTTAAAAATCCTTATGTTTCAACACAACTCACTCAATTTCTTTATCATCTCCTTTATTCGTCAAAACCGCCATCAAAAAGCTTTTTCCTGAACGTGAGGGACCCAAAACACTGATGATTGTGATCTGAATAACTATCAACTTTTGATTTTTCGGCTAACTCTTCGTTTATTTACTTAGTTTACAAAGTTTTAGTTTACTAAAAAGCCAATTTCATTAAAAACTTGCTCACAAATAGCATCTTACTTTTTTCCCCAAGAATTTCTCATTTGCAAACGTTTTCTCGGCCACATAATTATTAAAGTAGATCGAATCATTTTCAAATGAGACCAAAGATTCCATTTGGTTAATTAAAGCGGAATAACTAAACTTGGAAGTGAAATGTTCAAAAAACTTGATCAGTTGACTGGTGGTGAAAGGGGAATCGATGGGGCAAAATTCTTTCGCAACGAAAATTCCATGCAAGAAAATGATTGCTGTTAGTTTGTGAAGATAAAAGTAAAAGATAAAATACTTTACGACACTAACACTTTGCAAATTTCTTCAAAACAAGCTTTTGCATATAAAGTTTTATTCAAAAAGCTTTAGGTGTTGATTTTATCCCGGGAAAGGAACTTCGAAGTTGCTCATTCCCTGAAATCTTCCCTGAATCTTTCCCTGAAATTAAATGATTTTGATTCATTTTTATATCAAGGGCCAAATTTAATGTGATTAAGTGCACCAGCAAGTGTGTGTTTACATAACTAACATACCAAAAACCAGACAACCATATTAACAAACCCTCCCAACTCAATGTTCTGTTCATCTCCCGGAAAGTGCTTGGGCGGACCTTCAGCGCTCAGGAAAACCAAACAGAAAGATTTTGAGAAATGAGATACATTCTTATTTTAATATTTGGTTTTGAATGGCTCCTTATTATACAAATTTCTAGCGAATTTATCAGGTCATAGAACTAACCTTGTTCGTCGCTTAAAAAATTCCACTTATATTAAGTTTCCAAGAAAGTCTTTGCACAGATTTAAACTGAAATTCCCTAAAAACGAATCCACCAATTCAAGAACACTTCGTTCTATTATTTACAAGTCGACTCGAAGAAATAGAAAGAGTTTCCTTTTTTGTCACCAAATACATCTCTTTACCAGGCAATGATAATAGGTATCATGTACGTATGTCATCCCTTACTTTCAAGTGAATCGAGTTGTTTTTAAACATTTATTCAGAAACAAACAAAGAGTATCAGGGTAAATCAATTAACAACATCAATAGACACATCACTATCATAACCATTATCATCCAAATCAATATTAGCAAGCTGATCGTTGATTTCATTTGTTGCTTGTTCCGCTCGAGCATCCGAGAGACGTTTTGCTCCCTCCGGAATCGAATTTTTTTGAAGCAGTGGGTAAGGTGGTCTTCTGATCCGTCAGTGGTTGTAGTAATTCCACATATCTTGAAGGAGTGAACAATCAAATGCTTCGGCAGCTCATTCCAAGCGTTCCAAACTCAGGTCAAGTAAATTTCCATCAGTGGTGGAGCGGGATTCCCTCCTTGATCCGTTGGCCATCTATTTTTCAACTCCAACTATCTTTAACCAAAAGATCAGCAGATTCCCCTCACCTCTCCCATAGAAACGCATTAAATTTTAACAATGGGAATTGTTGTGCGAGCAAGGAATGCGGTGGCATTGAATTGAATCGAATCGGATCGGATTGGACGTGTCTGATTCCCAGATTATCGGATCAGATCGGATTAGTTGAAACCGTAAATTTCCTTGAAAAATAAAGCAAATTTTGGGAAACTTTTGAATCCAATCCGATCCGATGGGTCCAACCTATCAGGTATCCGATTTGACCCTCGTTCTAATCGAACCCACGTCTAGTGCTTACTATTAGAAGTCTATGGTGCAGTATTATTTGAACGCTGGTCCTTTTATCACTAACTTTACATTCGCTCATCAAAAGATTAATGTGTTGTCCCATCACAGAAATAATTTCTCTTAGGCCCATCACAGAAATAGTTTCTTTTGCAGAAACAGTAATTACAGCTATGTCAAAGATCGTAAAGGTGAGCCGTTTTTTAGTTTCCCACTAATTTACACAATTTACAGTTGAATACGAATTTTTTTCGATCTTTAAGCACTAGTTCCATTCTGCAATTAGTGATCTTTAATGGTGCCTGCTTTACTTCTGGTTTATTTCTAAACTCTGGTTTATTTCTATTTCTGATTTATTTCTAAACTCAAAATGATTTACTACCTAGAAAAAAGTAATGAACAATAACTTCAAAAAAGATTTTTGAAATATCAAAGTAAAAGATCATATCGAAATACTGAGAAATAAACTAAAAAGTCGATTTTTACAGCAATTTGGCTTTGATTTCTTGTCTTTCTCGTTCATCAATTTTTTCTGACACATTTCAAATTTCTCTTTCCAGAATTCGACCTCATTCCCCAGTTTCTAAAAATTCTAAAATTCTAGCTCAAACAGTCAATGTTTTTTGGTTCATATCTATTCAGTAGGATTCCTAAAATCACTTTTTTCTAGTATGCTAATCTAAATTGCCTGAATTGCCGTGAAAATTGACTTTTTAGCTTTTGGTTAGCTTATTTCTCAGTATTTCAATATGATCTTCTACTTTGATATTTGAGAAATCTTTTTCCAATTTATTGTTCATTACTTTTTTTCTAGATAATCAATCACTTTGAGTTTAGCATTTTCAAAAGTTGAAAGCCAATCAGATTGAATATGCTGATCTAAATCTAAAACGAAACACCAGCAAGTTCCCGGAAAACTAATTAGCGTCAAATTGGCTGTACTGAAAATCTCCATTTTGACGTTTCTTTTGACAATTTAAACATTTTTATTAAAATCACATTTCAATCACAAAAAGAAACATTTATTCTTGAGTCATCATGATCACAAATTCCTCATAATTCACTAATCCATCTCCATTAACATCAGCTTCACCAATCATGTCCTCCAGCTCCTCTTCAGTTAGCGTTTCACCCAAACTCGTCATGACATGCCGCAATTCCGTTTCTGAAATATGACCATTTCCATCTTTATCAAAAACTTTAAAAGCAGCTCGAATGTCGGCCTCCAAAATTGGGCTTTTCATTTTGCGAGCCATCATCTCAAGGAATTCATCAAAGTCGATGGTTCGATTCCCGTCCGAGTCTACTTCATTAATCATTTTGTTCAGCTCAGCTTCTGTCGGATTTTGTCCCAAAGATCTCATCACTGTTCCCAATTCTTTCCCAGTAATCGTCCCATTTCCATCTTTGTCAAAAACGGAGAATACTTGTTTGAATTCTTCAATTTGCCTCTGCGACAACTCATCTGCCATTGAGAAAGATTACTGAAGATGAAAGATTTTTGTGCTAGAAATCGGTATGTCTAGTAAATCGGTCTAGTAAGTTCAAAATACTCCGGTGAAATAAGTCTAGTGAAAATCAATTCCAAGAGAGGAAATTGAATGAGTCGGCCGTGGGAAAGTTTGGACCTTTTTCGGCTTCAATCCAAACAAAAACAATATGGAAAAATGGGCACCGGAAGTGTTTTTACGATTGGATTTCCTATCTTGATTTATGGTGAGCAATTTAAAAGTAATTAGACGGCAATTTTCAAACAATATACAAAGAATAAAGTCGATTGTTCTGATTTTTCAAATGCATTCCTTCATATCCAAGGTAGATTTACCTAAACTTGACAATTGATTTGCTTAATTGGTTGTTTAACTTTAGCTATGTCAAATGTGTTTTGGTGAACTGAGTCTTTCTTCAAAACTTCAACCGTTCAAAACATTTCGCTCCACAAATCCTGATCGATGGTGTTAATGCTTTTCCGAGTCCACTCATCACTCACAGTCCAATCTTTCATCGTCTGGTTTCCAGAGAATCTTTTCAATCTTAAAAAGACTTGATTTCCATGGCTTGTTACTAACATGATTAGCTACCGTAAGAGCAAATTAGTCATTTGCCATTCTGTTAAATGAAAAGTTGAATCAAGTTGACCTATTTCTTTACTAAACTTCCATTAAGCAGATCATGCTCGCCCTCATTTTTCCCCTCGCTCTTATGGTAGTGCTGCTGACCCTAAATCTTTTAGAATCCAACAAGTTTCAAACAAAGAAACCTTGATTTCCCTAAGCTCTAAAAAGAATAAAGCTTATGCCTGGTTAATGACGTACTGACACATATTGCACGGGTTCGGCGTCTGCTGAAAAAAGAAAGAAAATTAACGGAGTTTTTGGAATAAGTAGTCTAGGTAATCTTAGTATCGAGTGGCTTTTGTGACAAACTAACTGCACAAGTGAAGCTAAAAATTCTGAAAGAGATGAGAATTGTTAAGTGAACTTCACCTTAAAGAGAAAAGGATTTTGGATATCGATCAATAGAAGCAATCTTAATATTAGGCTGTCTAGAAAGTCTTTTAGTTCCTTTTCGTATCAGGTTGGCAACTAAATATTGGCCCTTTTCAGTAAAAACAAAAAATTTATTAACAAGATGAACAAATATCAACACATCCAAAGGTATTCTCCGCCTTTCTTCTTTCCCTTTTGACGGGCACTGGTCCCTCTTGAAAATTCTTCTGGTTGTCGTCAAGAACTTCTGCACTGAAATTCGCTCGTCAAGGTCATTGAACTTTTCTCGGCTAGAAAGTGTTGCATCGTCGGTGGTATCACTGGCCCCTATCCGGGCTTATGGCGCATGAGGAAGACATTCCAGCCCAACCCTCGATTTTCTCCATTGTAAGTTTTGCAGTGTGTGGTTTGCGTTATCATGGAGAAATGTTGAAGGGCTTCGAGTCCTTGAGAGCGAATTGCTTGATCTACACGATGTAGTTGAGACGAATAGAGTTCTGAATTAACCTTTGGCTTTTGAGAACCTCGAAATGCACCAACCCACGAGAACTCCACCACACACAGGGAGAGTTTTCTTTGGTGAATATTCGGCTTCGGCGTTGTTTGGGTCTTCGTGTGCTAAGCCACTGTCGTTTTCGCGTTCGATTATCATAAAGATCCATTTTTCATCAGAGTGACATGGAATCCAAGAAGCTCCCTTTTCGCAAGTTTTAGTAGTTTCCAGCGGTGATACCGAGTAGCCTTATTTTCTTCGCTCAATTCATGCGGTCCACTTTCCCTGCGGTTCCCCCAATGCATGAGTCGCTTTTCGATTGCGTGCGAAGGCCCAATCGATCCCCAGCTCGCGTGATGTTTGACTTGGATCCTCCTTTAGCTGCTTCAAAATATCGTTCTGCAGGTTCGGGTCGTCCTTGGCGGGCTCATCTTCAAGACTTTCATCCCCTTCCTTGACCGTCGATACCATCTCTTCATTATGTTTCGGAAAGGCTTCATCACCAAAACGCGCAATAAATCTCTGTGGGTTCGGCAGCTGTTTTGTCTTGTTTGTAGTCGTACCAGAGACAGACACGCATTCGATATTTGGTCTTCCATTTCTAAACAAATTATTTGAAAGTATCAAATCAAGGAAAGTAAAAACGTATAATAATGCACCAGAAATTCAGTAATATTCAATTAACAACAAGCGAGGGTAGATTAAACGCAAAGATTAAAAGATTTTATCAAAAAAGGGCGAGGGCCATTATTTAGTTGCCAACCTAATACTTCCTTTTAAAACCAACAAATACACCAATCGGACTACGGCTTGTTTCATTAGAAAGGGCAATTATTTTTTTGTAAAATAACATTAAAACGAGTTTAAAATGTTTTATTTCTTCATTTTTTTGGGAACATGAAGTCGGGTAGTCAATAAGGACTGCTCGATGATGCAGTTTAGACACTTTAGCTATGGAAACCTATCTTGGTGTCAATAGATAAAAGATAGAGCACAAAAAATTTGGTATATAGCCAAATTTTCAGAGAAATACATTCAACCAATTTCTTCGTGGAGGTTTTTGTAGAGGAAAAAGACGTTTTCACTCTCGATTTTGCTTGAAAGTAAACCGAAATTCACTTAAAAAGAGGGGAGATTGAGGGGGTGGGACAAATGCGACCTTTTTTTTGCCCACCTGGACATTTGCGCACCTTTTTTTGCTGGAAAAGGTCTTAGGAAAGGTCGTAGAGCTTCAAAAATGTTTCCATGGGGGGAATCGTATGCGTAAATTCAGAATTTTGACAAATCAGACCTCGCTGACACGTCAAATTTGCGGAAAAGCGTTAAGTTGCGTAGTTTTTGCCTTTTAGCCCAAATTTGACGTGTCAGCAAGGTCTGATTTGTCAAAATTCTGAATCTACGCATACGATTCCCTCCTATGAAAACATTTTTGCAAGCTTTCTTTTGACCTTTTCCAGAAAAAGGTCGAAGATGTCCCGGTGCGCAAAAAAGGTCGCATTTGTCCCACCCCCGGAGATTGAACAAGAAACACTTTTTATTTCGAGCAAATCATGGGTTAATTTGTGAATTTGTTATTTTCCAACGAAAGTATGAAAATGAACGAAAAGACTTTCTGGACAGCCTAATAGAAAATGTGATAACGATAGAAAAGGACACAAACTGTGAATGGAACGGATTTATTGACTTTTTATCAATTTTAGCGCATTGAGCTTCTAGACTAAAGCAAAAAGAACTTTTCCTTTTTGGGAAAGTTCTTTTTGTAGTATTTTTTGTGAAAAAAAACAAAGGAGAGTCAGCATTTAGTTTTCTTTTTTTGCTAGATGTTCAATTTTCATTTGAGTGGCTGAAAACTGTTTTAAAAGTTTATTCAGATACAATTCGAGTATGTTTACATTACTTGAAGAGTAGATAATTTGCGTCAAATCACATGCATTCCTTCATATCGATGCAAACGTCTTTTGAGGCTTTTTCTAGAATGTTACGGTTTTGAAAAACTCTTTCAACAAGTTAAAATCTATCGACGGCTAAAGCTTAAATTTTTTTTCTTTATTTTTAACTATTTAAGTTGTGCAAGGGATTACTGTTAACGAGATCGACAAAGATGACATCAATGTATTGATTGATGTCATTGATACAGCCTTGAACCACATCTTGACCATATTGGCTAGAGAGGCTTTGACAGACCTGAAACGTTATGAGATTTGTGATGAATTGAAACCTATTCAAAAATAGCTTAATCAGTTGTTTTTAGCAAGTCACTTACGGAAAGAAGTTCGGATTTCAGAGCGACCTCGTCGGTGACCCTGTTGTTGAAGAAGGCGCGGGCCTAAAACTATTATTTCAGACATGTTGGGATAACATAATTTCAAGAAATCTTTATTGGATTGTATTCTTGGAGTTGTCGAACTTTGATGGCTTAGGAGAGTCTCCCCTAATCAACTGACCTGATCAATAACATATTGGCAAACATAGCACATATCAAGTGGAGTTGTAGTGGTCACAGTAGTAGTCGTTGTAGTCCTTGTTGTAGTCGTTGTAGTCGTTGTAGTCCTGGTTGTAGTCGTAGTGGTAGTGGATGGCGTGGTGGTCATTTGGATGGCAGGTGTTGTGGTAGTTCGTTGCGTTGTTCCCATCGTTCCTCCAGTCACGCCACACTCGCCCATATCGTAGCAAATTTGGTAGGTCGACTTGCCTAAAATGTTTTATTCAAAAACAATCCATGCATTTATCTCATGTACACGATTCTTAAGTTAGCCAAACCGTCTCGCAAATCCCGATAGATGACATCGATGTTTTTCCGGATCCAGCTATCACAATCTTTTACCGCTTGCTCACCGTAGAATCTTTTCAATGTGTTGCAATCCTGTAAGCTCTTTTTGATAAGTTTAGAAGTTTTAGACGTGTTATTGCCTATGTACATTAGATCAATCAATCAACATCATCAATCAATGAATAAATGAACTTAAACTCTATCAAACTCACATTTAGCAGTTCCCGCTCGACTTCTCCCTTATCCTCATTTCGATGATAATGTTGTTGGGCCTAGATTTTAGAATCAAGTATTCCAAAGCCATTTAACGCCAAAATAAAGTAGAAATTTATCCATTCTTACCTGATTAACGACGTACTCGCACATGCTGCACGGATCCACTGCACGAGGTGTCGTTTGCTGGAAAACGGTTCATTTTATCGAATTTTCTGTTCTTTTTTTCGATTTCTACTCAAGAAAGTTTTAAAAATGTTCTAGAAAAAGCAAGACTAACCGCCCAAGTGGTGCTGAGAAAGACGAATGTGGCGAGAATCAATGAGCGCATCTTTCCTAAACGAAATGAAACAGGTGTTGCTAAATTTACTTCGAATTGTAAGCAGGTTAACAATATTTTAAGAGAAAAAGCCTTTGGTTCATTGGAAAACACTGAAATCATTTTTGGCAGCGAATTTCCGGTTTCCCCTTCTGATGGGTGTGACCAACAAAACGCGATAATAAATCACTGCTTTCAAAACCCGAAGTATAAAGACTAGGTGGCAGAAAAATCGTCTTTTATTGCGTTTTTATCAGTTCCGGATTTGTGTTTGAAAATTTATGCAAAAGTTATCAGTTTGGAGTGGATGTGTGCGGAGAGCAGGCTTTGATTTCAGAAGCCAGGGCAAAGGCAGAGAGAGATTGTGACTCCAATCAAATTTTCACCGTTTTGGTCGCCTAAGCCAAAGAAGCTACTGAATCCGTGTGATTCCGTATCTATTTTCGAAACAAACTTCGGATGGAGTGAAATCAGTGAGAAATTATAAATTGAATCACATGACTTCATGGTGTTGCATCACAAAACGACAGCAGAGCTTGGATGAGATAAAGCTAGAATGAAAACGAAGATCGTAATAAGGATTTATATTACGGCTCTACTGTATGCCTAAAAGTAAGTTTGAGAGCTGAAATCTGAAAGTCCATCGTGAAGGAATTGAAGATATTCTAAAGATGCACTTTAATATATCTGTAGAATCCGAACTAAACTAAACCGCCACTTTGTGTACCTGTATCTCCGAAACTAGTGAGCCGATTTTGTTGATTTTGGTGTCATTTTTTAGAGCAATATATGTAGATTCTTAAAGTGAAGCTACACATGGAAAAAGTTAATTTAATGAAAAATATTAGTTCGGACCAGGACGTAATTTCAAAGTAATTTCATATTTTTTACTAAATCAACTTTTTCCAGGTGTGGCTTCACTTTCAGAGTCTGCCGTAAATCTTCGATTAGAGCGGCATGCCACTCTATTATCCGGTGCCTATTTTTCGGATCCCCAAAAATCACATAAGGGTGTAGCACATTGTAGAAAAAAATTATTTTTGCTTAAATCACTCTAACTCGATTTCTTTTGGTCTAAAACATACGAAAAACGCGTTTAAAATAAAAAGTTATGTCCATGGTTCTACCCATGGATGTGCGACCCTCCAAAATCCCTATGGATGGGTCATCGTCTACCGCTACTTTCTGTAAGTCCTTGATCATTGACAGCCAAAGACATACCACTTCTGGTGGATTCGGGGAAAAGAAGAGGAAATTCTTGCATTGCATCTGCTTGCAAAGAGGAAATTCTCCCATTGCAACCAAAACGGATATCATTCAAACCAAGAGAAATCACGAAATAACAAATCCACATTGTCTTTCTTGAATACAGAGAAACGTTTATTCTTTTTAGAGTCGGAAAACAAGAGTGAAAACGGAATTCCAAAGTTACAAGCTACTAATGTTTTCGGAAAGTCGAAAATGATTGAAATGGGAAAGAAACCTATTTAACAACAAGCACAGGCCTTTATGAAACTATATAAGAAATTATAAAAATTGAAATCTGATCATTTTTCTTTAAATTTCTCAATCAGAAACTGTAACGTTAGTTGCTTGAGATTGCTTTTTGCTGCTTTGAGAAACGGTCATCACCGACGTCACTGCCCCTTTTTTTCGATTCGCTTTCGGCTTTTGAAGGAACAACGCGTTTAGGAGACTGAAAAATTCAAGCACTGACTGATGAAAGACTTAGTTCTCTTGTTGGTTAGGTAGATTTTTTGGTAACTTAATAAAATTATGTATTTCAACATTCATGTATCTTTCTGTGTAGAGGAATCATTTCTACGTTTTTTTTCGAGTCAGGGGACCCCTTTAGTACTAAAAATCCGCAAGTGCATTACTTTGTGACGTATTTTTCCTTTTTTCCGAACTGCAGCCATATCTTTCTCTAGAGTTTTTAATTTTTAATTGAAATCTGCCTATCTAGTCCGGAATTTTCCGGGGGACTTAAATCTGAAATCAGATTTTAAAAATATTGATTCTAGAAGAAATTATGACCGCAGCTATGTGTTTTACGGTGAAATGGGATCTTCCCATCCTCTGCTAGACAAGATTATTGCATTGGATATATACGGTCATGGTAAATTGGACAATCGGATGCATCCAATTCGATGGATTTGACCAATCGGATACGTCCGATCCGATCGAACCCACGTCCGAAAACATGTACATGTATAATTACAGTCCCACGCTTTTTTGTGAATATCTCGGCAATTTTTTTGAGCGATTCTCACAAACTCTTTTTCAAATAAAAGTTGGGGAGTTTTTCTATGGTAGGTTTTTTGTTTTTGCGGTAAGCTCAATTGGCTTGGTTTTGGGACGTCCCGAAGTTCGCCCCTCCTCAGATTTTCGAGTTTACAAACAGCACTCTAAAAGGACTTTGAGTGACTTTTTTAGTGTTTATCTTATTAGTTCTCTATCCAAACTAAAATTAAATATGATGATGCGTGAGAAAAACTGAAAATAATCGAAAATGCCTTTCGAAAACCGTAGGGTTGGAGCTTTTTTATTTGGATCTTGGTCTTTTTATCAGTTCAATCACTCAATATTGAAGGTAAACAATGTTTAAAAAGGTGTGCACTACACTTTTTGTTAGATTGGTTCATCATAAAACCCATTTAAATAGCAAATTTCTTGAAAAGTGCTGGCTAAGGTACTGATTCAAACTTCATGCCTCGTTTCGAGCGCACCCCAGGCCTATAAATCGAGATGTGTGGAAGTTAATTCCCTTTAGAGTAAGGGAAATCAAGTCCTTGGTAGTGTAAGGGTTGGCACATTTGCCTGAAAAGCGAAAAGTCGCGTCCCAGCAAATTTTACTTAAATACTCGAAAGTCAAAAAAGCAAATTTCTCGAAAAAAGAGAGAATTGCTTGAATAATTGCTGAGATATTTACAAAAAAACGTGTTACCGTAATGCTGTTTCACCCAGCATTAATCATGTCTACTACCTGCTAACGAATTGAAAAGCAAACGCCTGAGCGGTGCCAGTTGTATAAAGTGACATCGAATAGGCGTTGCCACCGAAACGAAGGCTAGCGATCAGTTGATTCAATTGGCAAATGATCGTGATAAAAATGCTCAGAATCGAGGTTGAGATCATCTAAGTTGAAAATCATTCAATAGCAAAGAGTGGACGTCAACAGTACAATTGTGGAAGAAGTTCTTTGTTTTGTTTCTATTACGTAGTGTTGTTGGGTCGAGGATTGAATCCCGCATAAAAAAAAGCACTAAAGTCCGCGAAGGATCATCACAAACTTAGCTATGACCTTTTCCGCAACTGTACTATTGATGCAACTGTACGTAACTGTACTGTTGAACGACATTTCGAACAAAACCCCGACAAGTTTGTATTTTTACATTTTGTTTGTATTTTTCTCTCAAAGTCTTTCAAAGTGTAATCATTTCTCTCTTTTTCCTATCCCATTTTTCTTGTCCATGGATTAGGCGTCTCGTAGTTCAGTGGTAGGGCTCTCACCTCACGTGCGGAAGGTCACGGGTTCGAGTCCCACTTCCAGTCATTTTCAACATTTTTGGCTATTTTTTATATCTTTTTTTTCCTTTATTCTTACTCACCTGTGCCATAAGCAAGATTTCCACTCTCGAAGCTTTTCCACTTTTTCTTAGCTGAAATCTTTCTGCCTTTATAGTATCAATCTAATAAACCTTTCTCAAGTTCCAATTTGTCACCAAATCAAGGGCAAACATGAGAAAAATGGGGATGTTCGAGAGGAATTTTTCGTCATGCGATTGAGAGATAATGATTCTCCATCCATCCGGCAACGACACTTTGATATAGTAACGGGCAAATATCACAATATATGGAAGGATGAGTTGCGCGAACGGCCATTTGAGAGTTTTCCGAAAGTAGATGCCATCGAGAGAGACGGCAAAGAAACGGCTGAATTCATTTAAAAGTTGACCGGACATTCGTGAAACGTAGCGGTAGTGGGGTGGTACAGTAGCGAAAGTTGGCCATAAAATTGTTTGCGTTTGTTCAATTTGGCTGATTTTGATGTGATTTGATGTGGAATGTAATATCCTATCAAATGAGGTCAAGATCAGCTAAATCGGACAATTGCGACAACTGTTTCCTTATGTTTCCTTATGGTGATATTTTCCTATTCCTTTAAAATTATATTTACATCTTTCAGCGAGTACACAATCCGAAACTTTTTGTGAGACGTTGTACGAATATAACCAACTTTTCTCAAAATGCATCAAGGTAATTAAGAACTTCTTTTTTCTATCTAAAATTTTTCTAGTTCCGCGAATTGACTGTGGAAAGTGTAAATGATTGTTTGGAGCTGTTAATTGATCAAACTGATCAAACTCGAATTCAGGAGAAGTTTTGATTTTCGGGGAACAGATGTACGAGATTCACATTTAAAATCGCCAGGTTATTGAAATTTTGACAAGAAACTAAAGAAAATTCGCAGTTTGATGCAAGCAAATAGCAATTTGAGATTATCTAGACCTAATTGAGATCAGCAATTGGCAATATTGGCATAGTTGGATGAAGTCACACTGTTGCACGTAGAGATTAGCATCCGATATGAAACTGGAGAAGTTGTCGAGAATGCTGAAAGATAGCTATTTTCTTTTGTTAATTACTCTTTAATTCTTGAATTGAACGGCTACCGGTTACCGCATCACTGTCGACCGAACGTCTGTAATACAGTCACGGAAAATGGTCATAGCTTTGCCTGTACTTGTTCAATTCGGCTGATTCTAATGTCATTTGGTAGGAAACTAATTTCACTATCGAAAGGTCAGCCGAATCAGCCAATTGCATGCAAAGGTATAGCCAATTTCCTTTGTTGTACTATAAACGTTTGGTCGCAGGTATACCGGATTTCTCGAGATCATGAAGATTGCGCCAAATGGAATTGTCATTTACCAGGGCCTTCGCTTTGTGCGATTCTGGTATCAAAATGTAGCCTTTCAATTGGGCTACACGGTTGTACAAAAAACTTTTAGAAAAACTCTTGTTTAGTACAAGAAAAATGGTCGCAAAGTGAGTTGTTCGCATTTCGATGTACAGTCGGTGCACTCACTTCTCGGCCATTTTTCTTGTACTAAATAAGAGTTTCTCGAAACGTTTTTATACCATCGTGTAGCCCACTTGAAGGGCTACATTTTGATATCAGACTCGCACAAAGCGAAAGCCCTGGTAAATGTCAATTCCATGCGGTGGAAGATTCGTTTTTACACAGCGGCGCAATCTTCATCTTCCTCTAGGCTTCCGAATGATTTACAGAACTGTCACTTTCAGCAGCCCGGACCCAAATGTTTATTTTCCTAAAGGTCAGCCCAGATTCTATTGAATTTATCATCTTTATGCAGATCTTAGAAAAGAATATTTGCCAAAACGTGGATTCGCGCTACTTTTGACCTATTTCTTCACCTGAATGGCAGCCAAGCGTTTGGCATTTGATAAATAGCCATGGCCAACGAGATCAGCAGCCGGTTAAAGTTCTCGGCTGTTGCAAATAATCTGCAAAAATATTTGGGCCAAAGTTAGCTTCATTTAAATAAGTTCTAAAAAGTTCCTTCATTGCTTACCGAATCGGGAACTTGAGGCCATTGTTGGTGGCAGAGAAGTAAATGGCGGCTGGAATAGTGAAACAACTGAGAAGTAGTGACTAAATGGTTATGAGGAATCAAAAGATCGGCCAGATTTGAAAGGCTGAGGCTAACACACTAAATTCATTGTCTTTTTCAGTAACTTATTTGACACTTGACGCTTGCCAAGGGACTTGTCCGTTAAAAAACTGTTATCGAGCGTTTGCTTATGACAAACATAGACAAACGCTTGACTTTTTTCTTTTATAAATAAAAGTTTAAAAATTTGGTTCAATAATGGCATAGACATGCTAAAAAGAAGTCATTTGATTTCCTAAGAACACATTTTTTAAGAAAAACAATTGAGAAACATAAGGATCCTTACTAACATAGGAATAAAAACGTACCCAAAATTCGATCTGCTTGATAATCTTGATATAGCCAAAATAAAAAGAGAGACTAATATCCGGTTTTGGTGGGTGTCTCTTTCGACAATGCTCATAGGTTTCATTGGGATGGCAAGTGATCACTTGAATGAAAGCCGCGTTCTCATCGGTGCTGTAGAGCAGGAAGGCGTAGAGGCCTGTGTGAGTTGTTCATGTTCATGCAAAAGAGCCCGTTTCCCCGAAAAATCCCAATTCCAACATAACTAGGGTTTACAGTTTCAAATCTGATTTCAGATTTGACCTCAGCCAGCACAAAATGCCTCACCAAATAAATAACTTTTTTTGGGGTATAATTATAATAAAGTTATGAGGAAAGCCATATAAAAAAGTTTGATTCTCATTTCTGTTAAAAAAAGCTCAAACTCTCATTTCTGTTGGACTGTCGTTGGACCTAAAATGTTGAGTGAGTCAGCAAAACTAGACACCGATTTCAACCGATTTTTGCTCGGTTCTATTCGGTTTCACCAGGCTTGAAGGTCTGGATCGGATCGAAAACCCCTAATACCCCTAAATCGGTCCGATTCAGTACATAAGAGGCCTAGAACTCCGAATTTCGATTCCGATCTGGCTCGAACTGGACCGGTTTGTGGCTAATATATAATCAAAACCAACCATTCATGCTGATTGTGATGGCAGCAACGACAAACAGTTCACGAAATCTCTGCCATCGATTCTTTTCAATCGCTTCCATGATAAGATGCCAGAAATGGAAGTAAAGCTAAATGCTATTCTGAGAATCCGCTTTCTTCTAAGTAATCAGCATTTTTGAGGTCCTGACAGTATTTATGGCCGGGGGAACGGGCAATTTCTACGAGAAATGTTACATAATTGCTTGGGGTAATTACATGAGATGGATGTGTATTTTGGAAGAGTAATGGGCTCAAAAAAGTACTTCGGTGTCAGAAAAGGAAATTTTTTGATAGAAATGCGGGTTTTCTTGGGAATTCTTTAAAAAGCGAATAGTTTCAGATTTGTCTTTTTTGAGCACTTTCTTGTGAATGGTGAAAAGTGTGCACTTTGCACTTGAAATTCATGCATTTATTGGAAAGATTCTAAAAACTTTAAACCAAAGCATAATACATGTCTACAAAATAAACGGAAAAAATCTCAAATGGAATGGCATTAAAGTAGCCACATTTAATCCATGAATATTGAAGCAGAGATTGAAAACATCGGCGCCCATTTGTGAATGAAGAATGGAAACTATTTTGATCAAAGAATCTCGTGAATGAATCAAAGTATCAAAGAATCAAAGAATCAAAGATCAAAGAATCAAAGAATCAAAGAATCAAAGAATCAAAGAATCAAAGAATCAAAGAATCAAAGAATCAAAGGATCAAAGAATCAATGAATCCCATGTCTAGTTTCAACTAAAGTTACACAGAGAAGAGAAATATAAAAGGAAACTCTGAATATTCTGTGTTTTTTGTAGAGACGGATTTCTGATATTATCCAGGTTTTTGCCAAACACCTTTCAGTTTAGTTTATTGATCCAATAATTCTGTCTGTTAGTGCTGTTTACAAGAAGATTTTCCCCGGTTGCTCAAAAATAAACTGGTCTTATTGTGCAAAATGCTATTGAAACCAAATTTGTTTTATAATATTGCAGACTTTTTGAGAATGTTGGATTTTCCTTTATAATCTATGATGTTCTTGATGAAGAGTGAAAGAATAATTTCTTGAATTGGTGAAAATTGGTTTTGTTTAATAGAATGAACGAGATTTTATCAAAAAAAGCCGCTGAACAAAGTAAAAGTTGATAATAGAAACTACAATATCAGATGTTGTTAACTAGAAGAAAAATTAGGCAAGTATAGAACGAAATGGATGAATAGCGTGGCTGAAAACTGGACTAGGCTAACAGGACCAAAATTTCAAATGAAGAGCTTGATTCTTGATGAGCTTTTGTAAAATGACTTATGTCAAGAGCATTTTGAGCACTTTTGTTTTATCTGAAAAAATAATCAACATAAATAGAAAAATTGTAATTGTTGTCGGTTCGGGGAGAAGCATTACAATAGTTTATACAATCAGCGACAATTATTACAAAGTTATTACAATATAAAGGTATCGTCGCTCAATTCGATCCGATTCCGATCCGATAATCAATCCGATTTTTCAACTTCTTTTGCCTGAAGTGATTCTTTGTCGTTGGTTGTCTTTTCTGGCTCACCCGCCTGCCGATTTTCATTTTTGGAAGGTATTTCAGGAGTGAAATAGTTATCAAACGATGTAGAATGCTTTCAACAACTGCTGATGTGCCTCGTTGAATGATTGGCAAGGGAAGCTTCAATAGTTCCCCAAATAATATGAAAAGATTGTGAAGGGTCATGCAAAAAACCTTCAACACTTGAATGATTCCTTCCAGATTCCTTCCAGAATGATTAGCATTGATTTCCGGAGATCTTTTCGCAAATATTTCACATTCTGCTCCATCTGTCGAGCGAAAATTGGGTTGCGTCGCAACGGAGAGTCACCAGGAGCATCACACAATTGCACATAAATAGAATAGGACGTTTATTTAAGGCGATTATCTCGAGGATGACAAAGATGACAATCAGAATAATACAAGCCACGCCCCAGAGAATATCCCTTCCGTTTTCCCGAAATAGATAGAAGAAAATAATTTAGAAGGTAATATAGAACGATTCTTTGATCAGTATTTGGGCAAAAACTGGATCACGGATTGCGCAGAAAAGTATCTGGCATACTCCAGTATATTCCAAAACAATGCATACCACTTTGAATAGTCAAGGAAGTGCTTGATAGTGTGCGAAAGCATGGCCACCATCCCAGGCGATAGCGAATCCAGGTAAGAAACCTTCAAATAAGCGATCCCACTTAGGAGCCCAATAGTCCCAAACAGCATTTTAAAAATTCGTCAATTGCTTCGAATTTGACGACGTGTCCGCGTATGCAAAGAACGTGCACACTGATGTGACTTTGACTTTTGATGGTTTATTTGTGTCTGTTGGCCCCTCATCGCCACTATACGTGGTAGAAATGGAAAAAACCGGAATCATCAGAAATTCTTTAAGCAGTCAAAAACAATGACTAAGCATTAGACATGGTAGCGCGTGCGTTTTTGTCAGATCGGATCGGATCAAATCGTTGCCTTTGGACCAGAATGGATCGGATCCGAATCGATGCATGAATCGGATAGATCGGATCGCAAAATTTGCAATTTTTGATGCCAAATCGGTCTGTGTAATAGTGTTTTGCAATGTTATGGCATTTTTGTTATTTTGCGAAAACCTTTATTTATTTAGCCGTTCACAGTTTAGCACTTCGACAGGGTGTGGCTTTTCTAAAGGATAATAAAATTTCGTTTGAAAGCTCAGCAATTAACGAGGGTGACCCTGGTTAATCGTGGTCTTTGGATCAGAATGGATCGGATAGATCGGATCAGATAATCAGATCGGAGCTTTATTAATTTAGATCTAGCAAAATTTGCTAGATTGCCGTTGAATAAAAGGACTTATTTCCCTCATAAGTTCACAAATTTTGGTTTGATTTTCTTTTTTTGACGCACTCACAGTCAGAATAAGTCAAAAGTCAATGAAATCCGACGAAAACTGGTAAAGTTATGAGCAAAAGAAATTTGTTGCCTTATATTTATTGGTGCTGGCGTTGGTGAACCCGGGCACAAAGAAAAGAGTTGCATTAAAACCAAAAGAAACTTTACGTCCTAACCTAATAATAGCAACGATCCTCGGCGCCACCACCACCGGCCACGTAGCACGTCTCATCCGAAGCACATTTGCCCTCGTCGTTCGGCATCACATAATTGGCTGAAAATGACGGAATTCAAGCCCAATTTTCCAACTTTTTCAACCAAAATTTACAGTCGGCTTTCTCTCTATCTCGCTCTCTCATATGGAATCCAAATAATAAAAAATTTGGTTACCTTCACCTTGCGCCATAACTTAACTGCCATAACTGCTCTATTCTTACATTTTCCTAACCTATTTTGGGATTTGAATTCAGTGTCTTTTGATGATTTCATCAAGAAAAGTTGAAAAACGGCATTTTAGGCCTTTTCTTAAGTGTTTGTAAAAGTGCTTTACACTGTTTTTCTGTGGCCGAGTGCTGGCGGGCGCTGGCTGCTCGCGGACCTCTGGAGGAAGGGTCACGGGGTTCGACTCCCAGTCGCGACAATTTTTTGTTCTTTAGAAGACAGTAAAAGCTGGCTGGCTGTTGTATTAAAAAGATAAAAATATGACAAACCCTCATAGCCGGCAGAGCTGATATTTTCGGGAACAGGAGGACAGCCCTGGAAATAGCTTATCTTTCTCTCTTCCTTCAACCTTATTGCCTTGGTCTCTGTTATCATATCGTAATGTTGTGAATTGGTAAATCTACATGATATTGGTACTAATAACAATCGCAATTTTTTGGTGGTAGACTTATTGAAAAACTCACGTATTTGCTATCACTTGCATAGTTGGGAATGTAGCAGTAATCATAGGTTCCATCGTTGAAACACGGGGAAGATTCTGGACACGACGTACCCTTCTCAAGTGGATCAACTGAAAATACATCGTTTGAGTGTAATCGTATCGACTTTTGTCGGATTTCAGAGTTTTGGACGCGGCCTTTTAATGCAAATCATCTCTGATTTAGTTCTTATTGGGTTGGGAAGAATGAAATGGTGCCGAAAATCAAAGAAATTTCTAAAACTTTTAAGAAACTTTGTCAAATGATACGCGTTTGATATCAGTAGAAAGGTTAACTAATTCTCTACAAAATGACAATTTCACCTTTGTTTTCTCAGCCGTCTCTTGGCCGATTGCTCTGAAATGTTGTTTACAAATAGAAATTGGCATCCTCTGCTTGTAGACAAAATTTCAGAACAATCGGCCAAGAGACGGCTGGGAAAACGAAGGTGGAATTAGGTTCGGGTTGAAATTTTCCCATGTCTAATGTGTACCATGGCCTCGACTGTAGGTGACTTGAGCCGTTGGCGCGGGCTTTGGTGGGCATTTGGAGCTTGGCTCACCCAGATCCTGAAATATGGCTTGAATCACAGGCTTTCACATGGCGAGGCAAAATTGACTATTTCACCCAATAAGAAAAGGCAACGGCAAACACTCACAATCCAACACATATCGACACCCGCCCAGCTATAGCAATTGGCATCTGGGTCTGAACACGTACCGCTGGGGGCCGAACCTGTAAGCGGACTCTGCATTAAAAATCACCTATGTTCAAATAGAGAAAATGGGCTAATCGCAGTGATCAACCTCTCTTCTAAAATAAAAATGAGCGCATTCCCGTGTTTTCAAATTCAAAATCTATAATAAATTTCTCTCTTAAGATACAAAGTTTCTCTTCTAACTAGGAAGACTCTAACTTCTAGCTTCTAACTCTTCTAACAAACTCAGGGTGAGCTTTTGTCTGGACACCAAGTGCACTTTATAGAAGTGGGTATGGGAACTCCGAATCTGGAATCAAAATCTGCCAAATGACTTTCCAGGCGTGTAGAACTTCAATCGAAAATTAAAAGGAATGCTTTAAAAAGCTCGGAAAAGTTCCGTTGGTGGCCTAGTGGATAACGCATTCGGTCTCCGCATTCGGCCTAGTGGATAACGCATTCGGCCTCCGCATTCGGCCTCCGCATTCGGCCTCCGCATTCGGCCTCCGCATTCGGCCTCCGCATTCGGCCTCCGCATTCGGCCTCCGCATTCGGCCTCCGCATTCGGCCTCCGCATTCGGCCTAGTGGATAACGCATTCGGCTTCAGCTCGGTAAAGTTCCGTTGGTGGCCTAGTGGATAACGCATTCGGACCAGGGTTTGGTTCCTGATGCAGCTTTTTGTTTTTGTTTTGCTTTTGAAGCAACTTCTAGCATTTTGCAGCTAATTGCATTATTGCTAATTGCTAATTGCAGGTATTTTGCAAAAATTCTGTTTGTGTTAGATACAGAATTGTCTTTATTTTGTGTGTACAAACCTTAATTGAGTAACTTTGAGGGGAATGCGAAAATCCGTTTTGTACTGTGCATTTGTGGTCAAGTGGTTCAAGGCGCGCGGCGGGGTTCGACTCCCAGTAGCGGCAATTTTTTTTGCTTTTGCCGGGGTGACTTGGTGAGAGTTGATACAGTACTGGACAATGAAATATCATATTTGAAAAACGATCGTCACTTTCGCACGTCTGTAACCCCCTTATCTTTGAGTTTAAACTATTAGTGTTCTACATTTTCTGAAAGCTCTTTTCAAGGGCTACAAAATGGTAATATTAATATTTAGAAATACGGTAAAGACAAGGGAGTTACAGACGCGCGAAAGTGACGATCTTTTTTCAAATATGATATTTCATTGTCCAGTAGTGTATGTCCGATCAGGCGCTTAGATCGAATCTGGGCGCCCATATCCCATCATATTTTTTGTGATTTTGTACAAATGTTTTTTCTAAGAAAGTCATTTTTCTAATTCTTTTTGCATTATATTGAGCATCTTCTGGGCTACATTTTTTCCTATTTTTACATGGCAACCTCTTTTTTAAATTGGCAAGAAAACCCTGTTTGTAAGTCTCTTCGGGTCGGGGCGACCGGTCAAATCTATTTTTCTCATTCTTAAGAGATTGTGCCATGTATTATATGTCAAAATGTAACCTATAAAATGCTCTATTCAATGCAAAAAGAATTAGAACAATAACTTCTTCATTTTTTTCTACTAAAATCACAAAAAATGTGGTCAGATATAGGCGCCCGATCAGATTCAGGCGTAACGGATATATTTTTAAGATAAGCATACCGGCGTTCATTCTAGGTCCCCCTGTAGGCGTGTTTTGGGGTAGGATTGGACATTTGGCAGCGTCAAGTGACCCGACGAGCTGAATAGAGACATAGAAATACTTTTAATTAATAAGCAGATTGGATTCGATCAAGTAAATGTGCATGTATAGGATCAGAAAATAGATCTCGGTCTAATATACCAATTCGAATCGATTCGACTTTTACTCGATAGCGTACTTGCCAAAGCGCTTGTTTGGTAAAGATTGATCAAATTTTCTATACCGATTTGATAGACTTAAATGATTTGCAAAAAAAAAGTCTAAAATTGACCGAATTCATGCTAATTTTGTTAATAATGCGGCACAGAAAGTAACGGCTTTGTAACAGATTAATGATATGTTAGTGAACATTAGAGAGTTTGCAAGAAAGTTGTCACCAAGCTATGGAAACCGAATTGCTATTCATTATTGAAAGCTTACCGCTACAAGCACAGCAATACGTCCGAACATTGCTATTCGAAATTCCCTCGAATGGTGAATGCATCGGAGAGTTGGTCAACCTATTTATACTCTCTGATTCTGGAAGATTTAGCAAAAAAATGAATGAGATTGAGGAAATATCGTTTGAATCCAAAAATCACATCACTTTTGCCCAAAACTTCAATGGAATCTGCGAAAATCCACATTTATTCAGCTTTTCAAAAAAGAATGTGCGAAGAGAGGAAGAAAAGCTTCTGAAAATAGTTTTCGATTGACCGTATTCACTCAAATTTACAAAAATGAATTTAAACAGCTTATCTTTGGAATTTGATGCTGCTAATCTTTGATGTTTGATCGAGAAATTCTTAGAAAGAGTTTTTGCGCAAAGCTTCACCAGTAATCTTTGCCTAGCTGTAACACCCACCCACGCTTTTGTGTCTTTAGAGCTTGCGGATACAGTTCAGTTGGGTGAACTATGCTCGAGTAAGCCTATTCCAAAACGAAGTCTTCGTGGCCCAGCCTGAAAAGCTAGGGTTAACAAAATCCCCTCTTCCGGCATGGAAAGTTTTAGTCGAAAGTTCATCAGAAAAACATCCTAATAAAACGAAAATATTTGAATTTAAAGTTCAATTTAATAAAAAGCAAAAAAGTTTGATTTGTAGCCAATCCCAAAACTTTTTGCTGGAGTCGATACTTTTCAGATCTGCTTCTAGGTTTTCAGAGAAATAGACAATGTGTAGCTGACAAAAATGCATTTCAACATTGTTCGGCTCAGACCTATGCAAACCCAATTTGCATAGCAAGCATAGAAAACCCAAGCAGAACTCGTATGCAAACCCAATTTACCGATCTCTCCAATCTGTCTCTGAATTTATGCCTACTTCAAACCTCGCTTATGCTAGTTTTCTCCATGATTACCATAGATTCTCTTTTACGTGATCATACTTTCCCAATGTTATTCAAGTTTCGACTGCTCCCAATCAGTTCCCCGGCTCACTCCATATCATTCTGTATAAATACCCGATGTTCCTCAATCGTGTCATTGCCTTTGCCTTTGCCAATATGACTTTGCCAGTCATATTGGCATTCCATTCCTACTCGCGGTCTTTCTATTGCTATTCAAATAGCAATTCAAATAGCGATTTCTCCAACCGTAATCGTTCGATGGAGTTTTTACCAAAAGTTAACCTAATCGTAAGAACCAATTCGTGTTTATTCATCACAATTTGTTGTCTTGTAATGTATTCATTTTCTGTAACTTGTAGAATACCGTATTCTCTCTAATAGTAGTGCACCCTGAGCGTCGCCTAAATTGCTCTAAATCTCGAAAAGCGCTTATCAGAACCTATCGATGCGGGGTCGGAAAATGTAGCTGACGATGAGATCTAGCTGGTGATTTGAGTGTTGAGCTTCTGCAAAAGCTTGGAAACTGTAAAATAGTCACCAACTCAGCTCGCCGGGGTGCACTACTATTAGAGAGAATACGGTAACTTGTAACGTGTTGTAGAATAAACTTTTAATCTGTACATGTATCAACCACAATCACGAGAAAACAATGTCATCAAAGAAGTTCAACAGAGCAAAAACATAAAAGAGGTAAATTTGTTTTTTGATGGTTTGGTGATACCTTTGTGTGGTTTCAACAGACGATTGATTATTTGATCAGATAAAATGAGTTAGTGAGTAGTAGACATGGGAAAATTCCAACCCGGTCCTAATTCCACCTTCGTTTTCTCAGCCGTCTCTTGGCAGATTGCTCTGAAATGTTGCTTACAAATAAAAATTGGCATTCTCTGCTTGTGGACAAAATTTCAGAGCAATCGACCGAGAGACGGCTGGGAAAACGAAGGTGGAATTATTGGGTTGGAATTTTCCCTTGTCTAGTAAGTGGTGCGTGTTCTATGTGCCTAAACCCGAATTTTTCCATCTTTGAATGCTTCTTTGCTCGCTTCTTTTTCACTTTTCGAAGTTTTGTTTAAAGAAAGAGACATACAGATAGACAAACGGCCTTTTTTTCACAAAACTAGTGCTTATTCGAATTCTATGACAAAGGAGTTTTCTATTTCTTTGCCAAAATGTCTGAAACTAAGCAAAATTGGTGAAACATGCATGCAAAGTTGAAAAAATTTGGGTTTTAGGCACAGATATAACTGTAAGTACAAACTGAATAGGTATTACAACAAAAAGAATGACTGATAAAGCTGAATGGAAGGGAGATGGCGTAAGGGATTGGTCCGATTCAACTTTATGGAATCGATTTGGTTGTAACAAGAGCAAAAAGACATGGGTCGACTTGCCAGTCAGTTCCTTATCAATTCCTTGCCAATTTTAATCAGTTCCATTTCCAGTCAATTCCAGTTCTTAACACTTCCAAGCCTTCCAATTCACAATTATTTTTTAAATTGGTACCTTTTTTAGTAAGTTTTTACTAAATAAGCTTCTTTCCTACTTTAAGACCATTTGAAGTCACTAAAATATTACAAATAAATAGATCTCTCTTGTAGTTTCTTTTATTTTTGGTTCGTTTGAGACAAACGCGTCAACTGGTTCGGAATTGATAAAGATGGAATTCACAAGGAATTGGAATTGTTTAGAATTGTTTAATTGCTGCCCAAATCTAGTTTTTATTGTTTTTCTGGCTTTCCGATTCGCCCCAAAGAGCAGCCTTCTGTTCACCTCGTTTCATCCAGATCATGAAGATATTTGTGTAGAACTGTGCTCGATCTGATTGCTCGTTAACTGACAGAAAAATCAAGTACTCCTCCACCTTCTTCCCGTTGTGGCTTTTGCGCTTTTGCGAGAAAACCCTTTTGAGCGCGTGTGCAGGATGAGTGTACTCTAGCCATTTTCTTCGTTGTTCCCTATCCAACAGATCCAGTGACCACCAATTTTCCCCACTGTTTGCCTGAGAGCTCAGCTGGCACACCGTGGCTATTCTCTGCCGATCAGCCTCATTCAGAGCGATCATCGAGTCCGACGATCGACGGTCGACTGTTGAAGAATCACCGACGATCCGCACAATGTCCTGAAATGAAAACTTATCAATTAGTTTATCAATCGCAGGCTTAAATACAAATTTTGCAGATTGCAGCTAAGTTGATTTATTCGCATCGGCCAAAAAGATTTTGCGGAAGCAGATTGTAGATTCATCAGCTTTCAAACGCGACACTGACTATCGTCTCAAAAGGCAAAACTAGCGAAAAATAAAACTGTATTATACCGGGTGTCGTTTTGCTCGGTTAGGTTCATTAATTGAGATCAGTCGCTTTATTTAGACCAGAAGGACTACCAATGAAAATTTGACCCAATCTCCAATATACAATATCTAAAGACGGGGGAAGGACAATCCCAATAAACACCCGCAAAATTTGCATAAAGAAAATTAGAATTTTCAGCTTAATAGCTTCAATAGCATTCGGGAAAATAGCTTTGTCTTATGCCACTTAAAGACATTACCTTAAGATAGGAATAAGCAGTGATCTCTCCAAAAATGCCAACTGGAAGCCCAGCATCATCCCGATCGAAAACTCCTCGAAGAACGCCCGTCTGATCGGGGGATCGCCGAGGAAAGTGACCGTTGAGAAAAGAGTTGAGTCCCACTTGGAAGTCAAGCCAACTGTATGCAAAGTGAACCTAAAAGGAACAATTGACTGGCTCTATTCCCATTTAACACTTTCTCAACAATATAGCCCATTTGTTCTGAGCCGGGTTTCACCAACGCTAGATTTATCAAAATTTGGCAAGCTTGCCGTTGCAATGAAGCTCTTCTACTCATAACTTTACTTAACTTTACTTTCAGTCCGATTTCTTTTTGACACACTCACCGAAAGTTACTACATGAGTGAAAGCCTGAGTACGTGTGTAACAACAGTGTATACATGAGTGAAAAATTACTGAAATTGAGCCAAAATTGCGGAAGTTATGAGCAGTTATGAGCAAGAGAAGTTTACTACCAAAGGTATTTTTGGTATTCTAGCAATTCTTGCCTTCTCTAGAGACATTAAAACCAGGTCCGGCCGTTTTGGCTCGTTTTGGCGCCATTGAGACGGCAAGCGATTGAATCTATCCTGATTTCAAGGTTTCTTGCTCTTTGACTGATAAGTTAACTGATAAGTTGAACGCTGATTTTAAAATTGAAAACAGCTTTAAAAATATCTACTCTTGTAAGGGGTTTACGATGGGATTCATGCCTTTTCGGTCGCTTTTAGACAAAGTTTGGATTCAGGCTAAAAGTCGGAAACCTGAGATTGATATTTGAAAAAATGAATATGCGGATATGGAAATTTTATCTGTGCCCGAATTTCGGATTTTCTTATTTTTCAGAATTATCCGAATTTCAGAATGATCAGAATTTCAGAATATCCGAAATCGGTTATCCGAGCTTTTTTATAAAAAATTTGTTCATAGTTTTGTATTATTAGAAAATACTTGCTTTTTTTGGCAAAATGATAAGCTTCGAAGCTATGTAAATCAACTTTTTGTTCACGTACCCAATTGACGACGGGCAGCTCAAGGGAATGTCGGCAGAGTTGATTGACGAACAAGGTCGAGCTCTTTTAAACGGCGCCTCGGTGAAGGAATTGTGAATAGACGCCCCTTGCTACAGTATCCAGCTTTCCAGAAAATATCACTCCACACAAATCCACACAGCTGAGCGAGTCGAGGTGTGCGAGTATGATGGTGGCCACAGCTGGATGGGCATAGCATTCAAAGCGTTGACAACATCTCAAATTCGAGAGCAGTCCCAACTCGGCGAAGAAATGGCGGAGATTTTCGAGAAATCCGGGATCCGTTGCTGTCTCGTCAGAGTCGAATCGAATGTAAATCCGTTGAGATATGTGAATCATCCGCATCAAGGCTAAATTGTTTTCTTGTTGCTGTTATTGAAAAGATTGGAACCGATCGGCACTCCTTTAGAAACTTGCAAAAGAAAACAAATGGCTGGCTCGAAAAATTTGCAAGTTTTCTTTGTTTTCTCCAAAAGTTGCAAGCGGGCGATGAATCTTGCAAATTTTTAAAGTTTATTTTGCAAGTTGCAAGTTTGTTATAACCGGGCCCCGTTGTGGAACGGAGAAATCCGATTTATCAAATCGGATCGGATTTCTCCGTTCCACATGTTCGATTCGATATCCGATCGGATACCCGATTCCCGAATTATCGGATTAGATCATATTGGAAGAAAACTCAAAAAAATCGGATCTAGTCGGATATGTCCGCTTACCTAAGTCGCTTGGATCGATCTCTTGGATCCGATAGGACGAACACATCGGATCTGACGTATCCGATAAACGAATTATCAGATTAGATCGGTGCAAATGAAACCGTAAATTTTCTTCAAAAGCAACGCAATTCTTGGGAAAATTTTGAATCGGTTTGGATCGAATAGATCCAAATAGATTGGATCAGATTGTCGAACCTATCGGATTCGATGCATTCGATTGGTTAATTTACCGGATCGGATATCTTTAACCCGATAACTATCTCTATTATGTAAACTTAATCGATAGTGAGCACCTGTGATGTAGGCCGTGTGAGAGGGACCAATTTTTGAGGGCATCTCAAAACGGGGCACTTGATCGGCATTCGCGCACGGATTTTCCAGATATTTGTAGGGCACGTAAATGGTAAATGAGGCTGGTGTGTGGGCAGAAAAGCAGATCTCCTTGATTCGCTTGGGAAGGGTGGCTGATTGGAGAATAACATGTGAGCAGAGGTCCCGGTTAGCTCGCGACAACTCCCTTGTCTCAGCCCATAGGTCCGATTGAAGCACGGAACGCTTCAGCTCAGAGGGCAGCTTGGAAAAGTGAAACATTTTCGGCGTTAAATAGAGTTAAGTGTGTCAAATAGTGTATAGTGTAAATAGTAAATAGTTGTAATTAGTAGTAGATAGTATTATAGTTTAAAGAGTAAATAGTGTAAGTGTTAAGCGTTAATTGTGACCGTTTTTAGAGACTCTGGAGTACAATTTTTCAATGAATCGGATTTTTCAATGGCTCGACGGGCAATAAGAAGGGTGAGTAACGAATCAAGGCAAAGAACGACAGAGAGGCTCGAAAAAGGAATTCGACAGTGCATTCCTTGAAAAACTCTTTTGTAGTTCTATTATATTAAGAGCTCGTGCGTGTTGTGACTCTCTCTCTCTTTCTGTGCAAAAAACCACGTGCCATGTGCCGATAAGGAACCCCAGCAAAGACGCCCAAAACACAAATTTTCTCTCTCAGGAATTTAAAGAAAAAGCGTAAATTTAGACGAAAAGTATTTTATATTGATGGTGGATTAGCTTATCGACGAGCGAATACGTGTGGCCATATCTCTAGGCATAGCTGGCCACTTAGTAGCTTGCACATTGTGCAAATACCCTCAAAACAGGAAATCCTCATTCGAAATGCAGTTATGGAAATTGAAATTCATTCTTTTAGATGCATCTTCACGATTAGTTGACCAATTCTTCTATCATTTTTAATAAAAACTCACTTGCTTTTCTATGTTGATTTTTGTTTTCATGGTCAGAAGACTACTATCAAAATTTTTATAAGTCGCCAAAGTAGCCGAGTGCCGATCGCTTGACAGAATTGTTGCTTAGGGTGGTTTTATCTGGATTTGTCAAAAACCATTCTTTTTTCACTTATTTCTTGGAGACTGGCAATAATTTAGGTTTTGAACAAACAAATTCTGAGAATTCCCTTTCAAAGTCGATTTTGGTACTGAAATCTCTGTGAATTTTCAATTTTGACGAAAAACTGCCTTTAAAAACTTCAAACAATAAAAGGTACATCTGAAACATGATATAATTTATCTGTATTTTGCTATGAATCATTTCTAATCTTGTTTGAAATGATACAATGAAAAAATATCTTGACTTTTGACACTGACTTATCCGAAAACCAATCACTTATTGACTTATTGACAAAATGACTTTTTGGATATGACTGATTCAAAAAAGAAATACAAATATCTGTCACGACAGCACCTTCATTCAAACGCTCTTTCGTAATTGTTTTCTATTAGGGCTAGGCTCCTCCTGAGCCATTTTTGGGCGACGCCCTATCAGCACTTGATACGTAATTTCTTTCATGGAGAGAATAATGCAAAAAAAGAGCACTCGGGGAAAAAAAGTCGAAAAAGGCGAGGAAAATAAATATTGGGGTTGGTGAATTGAAAACTGCGGGACTTTGAACTAAAATTTATTGATCATAAAACCATGAATTCATTCCAAATAATTTCCATTATTATTGACGACTTCTGCCCATTTTACAGGCAATTTGCGGATTCCTCTTTCGTGGTAGGATTTTGGTTTGTGTGTGAGACAAGTGTGAGACTCAAAAATGGAGGACTAGAGATGTCCCAGTTTGAGCACTTTCTTCAAAAGAAACTCATTTTGGTGTCAATAGAAAAGTTGTAGAGAATCAAAAATTAGACCTATAGCCAAATTTCCAAAAAGATACACTTAGTAAATGTAACTTTTGTGAAAATTCGTAAATTTGCCATTTCTTCAAAACCGGTTTTTGAATCGTTCTGAAAATTTGGATATAAGCTTGATTTTTGATTCTCTACAACTTTTCCATTGACACCAAAATGGGTTTCTTTTGAAGAAAGTCCTCAAACTGTCACATATGACAATAGCCCGCAGTTTTCAATTCACCAACCCAATATAACATAATAACAATAGAACAATATAACAGTTAGTCACAAGAAAAGTCGATGATAAATGAATAGAAGGCGCTTTTGTCCTTCCTTTGTGTTCTTTTGCATAGAGTCCTCAGAAAAGTTAAGTCTAATCTTCTAAAACCTGGAGCGAGCTTGAAGAATTGGTCTACGGATACAGTAGCATAGCATATCCTACTTATTATAAGCGAGAGAGTGTTTGTGACTGTCTGTTCCGCTGTTTAAAAAAAACAGCCGAACCAATCAATCTGAAAGCTTAACTATTGTATTCAAAATTTTATGTAGTTTCCAAAAATCTAATTAGTTTTGTGGATTAGACAGGCAATTTTTTGTAAAAACGTGATTTCTCAATTTCCCCTTATGAGCGTGGCCGAGTCGATCTAAGACGCTGTGTGTCAGTCTAACTCAGAAGAGGGGGTTCTTGGTTCGGCCCTTCTGCAATGCTAGCATCTTTTTGATCGTCATGAACAACAGAAATTATAACGAATCCTTCAAACTAACATTTCGATTGCAAAAGTAGATTAAGATCAATCTTCATTAAGCAACAATCGATTTGTAATTTTTAAAAGAGTTTTTGTTTTATTTTGTTTAATAATTTCTAAAATCCAAATTCATTTTGTTTGACTTCAAATTATTTCTAAAATCACTAGAGTTTGATCTATGCTGAAACACAATTCGATTCCTTTTTCACAGTAGCAAAGTTCAAAAGAGCTTTAAAAAAGATGAATGATTCATCCTTTTCGACAGACTTTCTCACTATGAAAACGGACAACTTTCTCTTTGTTGATTAAGAAACTTCTTTGTTTCGATAATGTTTTGAAGGAGCCCCAATGCACCCAGTCAAAAAGATTTCGAAGGCTGGTAAATGTAATTTTAGAAATTTTCTCTCGCTTTGGGTGTTGGAGGCAATCTATAAACGAGAACGTATAATTTAATCTATTCTTTTCGAGCTCTAAATAGCACATACAGATCTTGAACTCGTGTGATGCTGGTAATAATATATTAGATTCAAAAAAGCGCAAACTGATTTATAGATTTTTGAGGGGGTTTTCAATCAGAAAAACCAAGATAATCGGTTTCCAGCGCTAATAAATCACTCGTGAAAAAGGAATTATCGGGTAAAGATTCCATTGCCTATGCAATTACACCGAAAAAGACAAAATATTCTGAAAAACACTCACGTACTTACATATTTCGATTTCATTTTGACCTTTTAGAACAGTTTTATGAAAGGAATTTATTTTTTGCGTTTTTTGGGTGCATTTGTTTTTCTTGCTTTTGATTTTGTGTCTTTTTAAAAGAAAATTAGGTATTTGTGGAATGATCGACGTTCTCGCAAACCATTTCGAATCGATCGAACTGCTTATCGCTATCCTCCTGGCTCTCAGTGTTGATGGTAAAGAGTTGATATTGAAATTCGAGGAATTTCGGGTTTTTTGTATTGTCTCGACGCGGACTGAATAAGAAGAAAAGGACAGAAAAAAGGACCAAAAACATAGTAAAGACAATTGACCATAACCTTTGCGGCACATGTTCAATTCGGCTGACCTTGATCTTATTCAATAGGAGATTCAACTCTTAAATCTGGATTTTTGATGCCCTAATTTAATTTCCAATCGATTAACACCTAGTCTAATCGAAGTGGACAAATCCAGGCAAAGTTATGGCCAATTTGCGTTATCGTTTGTGTTTGAGCGATATTGTAGTGATATGTTTTGTCCTATCTGATGTGAAAACGCCAAAATTTCGGTCTGTTCCGCCGATTTTGACCGAACTGGATTGAAAATAATGCTAGTAAAGCAAATTTCATATATAAGATGGTCGGAAATTATCGCCTCGCAGTTTTTGGACTATATCTTAGCTGTAGCTTGGCGAATTGGTTTAATTCTTTTTTAATATGAAAATTGCGATAATTTTATCCAAATTGTAGGATGCTTTTGAGGCTTTTTAAGGCTTCTTCCAACCCTTGGCAACTCAATCTGCAGCTTTTCTTGATCAGGTTTTAAAGCCTCTTATATTATACTTTTGTGTTATGGTGTAGCTGGAGATAATTTGGGTGTATGAGTGAGAATGTGAAGTGTGTTGTTCACTTTGTAAGAATGAACGATTGGGAGGACCATTTTCTGCCACTTCCAGCACAACCGAGAGCCGGCCCCAACTCCTCCATAGTAGGAAGATAGTCCTCAGGAATAATCGACCGATCTGTCTTGTATTTATGGGAAGATAAGAAGATTGCTTGATCTACATGGAACTATGACAATTTCGAGAAGAATAAACCTGAGGAAACACGTCGAGAGGGGGTCGGGGACATGAGCTAGGGGAAGGGGCTGGATTTCCGAATGAGTGAGACCTGGAGTCAGAGAATCGGGCGATCCGGAGGACTTCCCTAGTCTAGGCCTGAAAGATTTGGGGAATGACTAAACTAAAGAAATATAGTGTTAGAGTTAGCTTTGGATATGGAAATATAATGAGAGAATATAGATAAAAGGTTGGATCACAAAAGTTACAAAATGAAAGAGACTTAAAGGGGGTTTCTAGTTCTTGGGTGTTTTTATAAGAACGGATTTCCGATATATGGTTTATTTGACTCTTTTCTGGTTAAAAAGCTCAAAACAAATATTTTTCAACAAAAATCTTCAAAGATGTGGTGTTTTTATGAGCTCTGGGTGAAAAAGGCTTCTTTGAAAATGAATTTTTCTTGAAACTAGCAAATTTCATCTGTTAATCTCAAAGTTAACTTAAAAAAGTATCGAAATGTTTCTCTTAAAGCTTCAATTTATCAAAAAAAGAGAGAAAAATGATTTCATTTTGAAAATGAAGTAGAAGGAGCTTGAATAATGTTGCGTGCCAAGGGTTTTTTTGAGCGCATCTTCCAAATCTTTAATAAAAATCTCAAAAGCTTGTATACAATTTGTATATACACCTACAATTTGCAATAAAGAAATTCTCCTTAGAAAATTATCGCAATTTTCATATTAAAAAGGAATTAAACCAATTCGCCAAGCTACAGCCAAGATATAGTCCAAAAACCGCGAGGCAATAATTTGCGGCCACTCTGTAGACAAAAACTTTTTCTTTTTTCAAGTTCTCTACTATTATGTGTTGCTCAGCTATCTGTATTTGACTGGTGATATCGCCGAAGAAGTCTGGTCTCAAGAAGATGCTGGTGGCCGTCCGGATATCAGCGACGAAGCGCTATATTATGTATACAAATATTTCTACCTGCTAGCTACGCTGGTTTGTGCTTTCTTGAGTTATTCTTTTGTAAGTGAAAAAATAACATAACAGAAACCATTTTTGTGCATGTGAATTTTCGAAAAAAAGACCGAAACCGACTCCCGATGTTTTAAAAAGAGATTGGACTGTTTTTTAGATGCTCATCATTAGCTATTTCGTCTCGCCGTTCTCCATTTACTTCTCAGCCACCAACGATAAAATAACACTGCCGATTCGGTGAGTGGCTTTTTATGAAATGACATCAAATTTACCACTAACACTAAACTTTGGATTGTGGGGCATTCAAGTTAGATTGCTATTGGCACTCTAACTTTGAGCCCAACTATCTTGGTGTGGAGCTGTTCTATTTAAATACTTTTGTACCAATCGACAGAGAAAGCCTTGGCCCATCTAATGATACCAAGAATATTGAAATTGGACAGCCCAACACCAATAAATTTGAGCTCAAAGTTAGATCGGATCCAACATGCGGCCCGATCATGGTCCATACATGCCGTCCGATCGGATCGGATCCAACTTCGGATCCGATCTGATCCAAAAAATTTTCGTCGGCTAGCATGTCTACTAGATAGGTGTAAGTGTGCTAGAAAAACCACAAAAATTATAAGAGCTGGCATATAGCTGGCATAACGTTCTAAAAAAGTCATATTTGCCTTCTCATGGCAGAATTTTATGCTGATTCTAGCCCGAGAAACAGACCTGGAAAATGACGTTAGAGGAAGGTATCTATGCATTTTTAAAAATGACAAGCGAACAAATCCTATACATTAGACAAGCAATCCGGCAATTCTATCTAATTCGATTTGATTCACAAAAGTATTTCACCTAAATCAGATGCATCTGATGCACTGAATTTTCGATTTTTCAAGTGATATCAATAGATGAAACGGTGTTGGTAAGGAAATTGATAATTCAATAAAAGTTTTTGCACAATCGGATTCGATTGGATCGCCGGATTGCATGTTTACAATACAGGGTGACACAAAAGTTCGAAGCCACCTCGTTTTTAGGGCCAACAGAAAACTTTTTGAAAAACGGTTTAGAAATCAGAAATCTAAATGTAATTTCCGTCTAGAAAAACATTTTTCCGCAAAAAATAGCCTTCTCATCGAGTACACAGACCTATTTTCTTAAGCAAAACAACTGTTAACTTTTTGAGACTCGCACACTTTTTAAAGCTATACGTTTCAGCGTTTCAGCGTTTCAGCGTTTCAGCGTTTCAGTTTGTGCGTTTCAGCTTCAATCAATCTGAAATTTTGCTATTCGTCTAGAAAGAGTTTAAAAAATAGAATAACTTTTGACTGACTACGTTTAATTAGAAATTTCAAAAAATTCAAATGGGTTTTGAGAGAAATTCAAGCGACCGGGCATTTGGATTGATTCTGGCGATATATTGCCAATTAAAGGACTTGATCTTTCCTTGCTAAGCCTTAAATCTAAAAAAAACTTGCTATAATTACAAACCTTTATAAGAAAATTCTGCTTTGGATAGTTTTTTGTGATCTTAAAAGCTGAATTTGACGAAAACAAGGTGGCTCCGAATTTTTGTGTCACTCTGTAGATTGTTGCTGGTGGCTGAGAACGTGTGCCGATTCATCTATTCAATCGGCACCCTAATCGAGTGCAATCCATGCGATATCGCCTACTATTGGCTGCCCGACATTGAATGTTCTGATGAGTTGTATTCGACTTTTGTCGAAATCGGCGACATTCTCGTCAATCGATACAGCTTTTATGATATGGCAATTTTCTGCCAGTTGACCACGTCGATTAGCCGCTTTTTGGCGATCTCTTTTGACGGTCGTTTCTTTCGATACACAAAGGAATGGCCGCTCGTTCAAGTGATTTTCCCGTTTATCATTTCTGTGGCTTTTTCGCAGCTTGATGTGCTGAAAAATAATCCGCCTGAAATCAATTCTGAAGAAATTCCGACGATATGGTACCTGATTCTCATGTTTATTCTGGATAACTTTTTCGTTGCAAAGTTTTTCTTTCAATTTTTCCCCTTTTTCTTGGACTTAACAATTTATAGAAAGATGAGAAGGGTTGGTTTTTTGATTAATGAAAAATAATAATGAATTATTTTAGCTCAAACAAAAAGGGAAAACGACATTGGCCGAGCGAATGTTGATGCTTCAAGTGAGCAGCTTTCCCTTTACTTCTACTTGATATTACAGTACTCAACCTGTGGTAGAAACTGTAGAAAATAATAGAAATGATTATCGGATTGAGTACATCTGATTCGTTTGACGTAGATCTGGTATATAGACTTAGCTATCTATATTATCAATATTTTTGGAGTAGTCGCGCAAAAAATCTTATAACTTTGCACAAAACTACTCAAATTCTCTGAAACTTTTACCAATGGAAAGCCAAAAGTTCAAGCTTTATTTTGATACTTAATACTTAGAAAAGCTCGCAAAACGCAGCTCTAAAAGCCTAACCGATACGATATCGATCATCGATATCATTATAACCTTATCGATAGCATATCGATAAGGTTTTTTTCAAATGCCTTATTCTTCCAGGACGTATTAAGTACCAAAATGAAGCTTGAACTTCTGGCTTTCCATTGGTAAAAGTTTCAGAGCATTTGAAGCTGCAATTACAAAGATATGTTCGTTTTAGCGCGAGCACTCCAAAATATCGATAGCCAAGTCTAGTGGCGTAGATATCCGATCTTCTTTGATTCAAGAATGCTCCAAAATTTTTAAGAGGATTTGAGGGCTTTATTCGATACGATCCGATAGTTTGAGAACCGGATAAGTCCGAACCCGATGGGTCGAATCATATCAGATTGTGGGATCGCTTGAAGCGGATGGTAGCAACAGCGGTTCACGTCCAATGCCAATTCAATCCATTTTCTGATCCGAACCGATCCAATAATTGAACATCGGAACGGTTAAACGGCTTTTTGTCTTAACCACCTTTTTTATCGTCTCAGGCAAACGAAAACAATGGCAGCAACTCAAAATTTGCTTGAAATTCTGTTTATTTGAGATTTTTATCTGTACGTTCCTTGATTTGATGTAATCTGGTCATCTGATTTATTCGATTTGTGCTTCCATGGATCATATCCAATTGGTTCTGATCGAAAGGCCCGAATAATCGAATACGATCTGATCTGATTCGATCCGAGAACTAGCTTTTCTCCAATAAACACTGGCAGAAACTCAAAATTTCCTTGAAATTCTGTAATAATAATAGTATTGTACTGTAATAGTAATGTTATATGACGTAAATAATATAATAGTACCCTCTCGTACAATCGCGTAGTCGCATAAGTTTTTTTGTATTTCATTTTTTCAAAGCGCTCGTACTTTCAAAAAATGCGTCTTTGGTTTAAAAAAATAGCCCTGAACCTCAGCTATTTTTTGATATTTAAGCGCGTATTGTAGCTTAAACCAATATCGAGAAAAACGCTTTCAAAGCTAGAATACGCAACACTCCGCACGGTCATTATCGGGATGGGGTACTATTACAGTATCTATTCGATACCATGTTTAGTGCTAAAGCATAAGTTTTCAGATGATCATAAACGGGTTGATCTCTATGGGAAACACTTGGCTACGGCAAACGTTGAAAATCATCGCATATGTGTTTCTCGGACCGAACTGCATTTATTTGGCATATCCGGGCGAGAAAATCTTTTTGATTGTGTCGTTTTGTCTTGGAACCAAGTAATTTTCTTACGTATACTAAAGGAGTAATCGAAGATTTTCTAATGCTTAATCAATTTAGTCTCACGAATGCGATATTTCTTCGAAAACGAATTGAGAAATCGCGAAAGGGCGAACGATCGACAATCAGCGTGTCGGCAACGATGGAAACGCAAAGGCCAAATGCGAAAAGAACGAGTTCAATTGCCACCAATCATCGATAAATACGTTTTGTTTTTACATGTTCCCTGAATCGAATCTCGGCAAACGGCAAACAAAACTTGATTCGTATTTTCAATATTCTCGTCGCTATCCTCCCGTAAATACTCTAATCGAAGCACCCTCTGTAGGAGCGTCGCGTAGTCTAAGTTTACACTGAAACAAACGCTCATATCTCAACACCAGTACGTTTGTTTCTGCGCACTTGGGTATCAAACTAAAGTAGAGAGGATGGGTGATTTTTTGAGATATAACATATATTAGCATTAACCACCGCTTAGAAAAAAAATGATTGAAAAGTGGAAAAAAAAGAGCCGATTTTCGCCGTATCCACTATAAGAGCTGTATCCGTCGATTTTCAGGCCGGGATCAGTTTTAGGCAATTTTCGATGTATAATATTTAAAATGAAAGAAATTTTGATCCCGCAATAACAACTTAACTTTTAAGGCTGAAAAGCAGGTCAAATAGATTCACCGAACGTATTTTGTAGCATTTTTCGGAGGCTTTCCAATGAAATATTCGGTTTTTATGCCTCATTTCATTAAAAAGTTATAGCCGATAAACGTGATTTTGTTTATAAAAGGTTCTTCAACATTCAACTTCTTCAACATTGTTGGGATAATGCTATAGTGCGGTTTTTTGAGAAATTTAAGACACATGCAACCAGCTAATATAGGCAACATTCTACTTGTGCACATCTTGAGTATTTTTGATAAGCGGATTGGTTCTCATAAGTGAGATCAAAGGAGGTATACTGCTAGAGACGCTTTCACGTGACTTTTTGACATAAAGTTTTATTCCAAATTTTTCAATACAAAGTTAGAATGAACTACTCCAGCACAAAGACCGATAAGCCAGCAACTGACAGTCACTCGCGCTCGAAGCGCTTCTTACAAATGAAATACCTATTGCTTGCGCCAGTCGTCCTCCATTTACCGTCCGAGCTCAGCTAAAATTTAAATTTTGACATATTACGAGACTACTAAATGCTACAATATTAGGTTGTCGGATTTTGAATGCGAATTTTTCGCAAAAATACTTTTTTTTCCAAGAGAATGAAGCGATTAAAATTAGTCCGGTTTTTACCGTTACCGTTAGAAAGGTAAATCTGTGTTCTACAATGGACTTTTCAGCGATTTTGAAAAGCTTCTGTTTTGGGGATTTTTTGGGGGCGCAAAGACAAGTAGTCAAAATCGTTAAAAATCGTTCAGTTTTTCGATGGAAAGTTAACATTATTTTTTTGCTCAAATGAAAGACCAAGCATTTATACATTTTCAAGCAAATTTTCAGCAAAACCCGTCCAGCCGTTTTTTCTAAATGTTTCAAATTTGTTCGAAAAGTCTCTCAAATGAGCAAATACCCTTATTTTAATGCATTCTTCAAGCAAACATTCTGAAAAAACGGCTGAACGGATTTGGCTGAAAATTTGCTGACATACGCAAAAAGAGTCCAGCGAGTCTTGGACTAGGACAAAAACAGCACACCAGAAGGAGCAGTCAAGTCAAGATCGCACAAATTCAAGGTTTCGCTCAGAGCACGAACGGTCAGAGTCAAAAACGGAAACCGAGAAAGAGTCTTTCTCGTTTAGCCACACGTCTTCGGTGAACGCGATTGTTGTGAGCTCTTCGTTGACGGCCGCATACCAAAGCGAATGGGGGACCGCGAAAACGAGCGCCTCTTCACATAGACATGGTCACGACCACTCGTCCGAGCGTACCACCGGCTCGCGAAACTCGGTGACTGAGGAACGGGGACGCGATCAAATGATAGGCTTTATCGAGTCGCTCAACGAGGAGATGACCGAATCGAAAACGGTCACAGATGTCATCAAAGTGGGTAGTTTAACAAAATAATTGATTTCATGGCCTAGCTTCAATTTAAATCAAGTTTCTAATTAGTTTTAAATGGTTTCTGACTTCAAAAAAACTTCAATACCACTTATCATGGATTTGGGACAGAAACTGATTACCGAAGCCGCTTAAATTTGGCACTACAGAACTACAGAACCTCGATAGTGAATAGAGCGTGTTCCTTGCGAGTAATGCGTTTTTTAAAACGCACACTTGGGAAAAAATACCGTACTTTTAGCAAAAGTTATTGCAAAAATTGACGCGAAAAAAGTTTTTCTGGCCTTCAGGCAGGAAATTTTACTCAAGTAATTACTTACTCGCGAGGAACACACTCTAATAGTGAACTATCAAAGGGATCCTAAAAACATAGTTCACTATAAAGATTTGACTGTAACTAAAATCAATCATAGTAAATTGAAAATCCAATTTTAAAGGTGGGGCCGCATCGGATGAAGAAGTTGACGCAACTCGTGTTTTTCGAGACTCGTGACGCAACGCTTTCGAACGCCGAAGTTTCGGGCCGAGGCGGTGAAAGACGAGAATGGATCGTACGTGTGGACACCACCGGCGTCCCAACGCCATCGACGTTACCTTCACAAACATCTTCACTGTCAAGAGGGGGCAATCAGGTGGGCTGTCGTTTGATAACTCTTTATTGATCCACTATCAAAATGTCGACTTTTCAAAATATTGATTTTTCGTCATGAGCTAGTGGACACGGTAGTTCACTACGGCTAGTGGACACGACTCATAACTTAGCTGTTTGTGATCCCAATCTGCTGGTTTTGATGTTACTAGAGGCATGATTCAATTTCCAATCCAATGACACCAAACGTTTTACTGTACTTTTGAAAGTAGCTGTGCATTAGTCATTGAAATTTGAGATAAACAGCAGACGGTTAAAAATAGTCAAATGGCCAGATTCAAATTTCAGACCGGTATCAAGGCTTTGTAATCAGTACGAGGAATGCCATCACAACAAGTGGCGAATCCGCTCATCGAAGCCGGCTGGAGCCGCAATTGACGATGCGGAAGGATGCTGACAGCTTTTGAAAGCCATTTTCAGAATACAACTTATACTTTTCACGCATTCATTTTTGTTTTTCGAATAGAATACAATTTCTAGTCTTTTGTATTTCTAAGTGCTTTATTTTACCAAAACTAAATTTCCACATTTTCCACTAACATTATAGATTTTAAACATTTAAAAGACTTTTTCTTTGTTAAAAGAACTTCATTCTGATTCTGAAATTTAAAAATATGCTTCTGAAGTAAAACAGAAAAAAAAACATAAAAAACAATTATATTCGCAATTATGTTAAATGATATTCTTAGCATCACTTTCACGCTGAAAAAACTGGGCAATTTCAGCAAATCGGTCGTGCGAGGAGTGCGAGGAGTGCGCGTGAGTAAAAAGCATGAATTTGGGCATGTTCAGCGAAACTTTTGTAGGGTTAGCATTCACGAAATCCGATTTAGAATCTGAAAATAGAATTTGTTCTGTATACTCTTTAATAAAAACATAGAGAAAAGCCGTCTAGAAGATTAGTGCGCTAAAGTGCCGTTTTTCTATAGTCAAAATGGCACTTTAGCGCGCTTTTCTATTTTACTCTATAATTGGATTTCTAATTATCAGATCGACTTCAGGTTGGTTTTAAAATAATTCTCATGAAATTTGGCTATAGAAAACCACAATCTATTTTGTATACTCAAGTGTAAAAACATAGAGAAAATCTCTCTCAAAGTTGACTTACCTACACTACTGGACAATGAAATATTATATTTGAAAAAAGATCGTCACTTTCGCGCGTCTGCAACTCCCTTGTCTTTACCGTATTGCTAAATATTAATATTACCATTGTGTAGCCCTTGAAAAGAGCTTTCAGAAAATGTATAACACTAATAGTTTAAACTCAAAGACAAGGGAGTTACAGACGTGCGAAACTGACGATCGTTTTTCAAATATGATATTTCATTATCCAGTACTGTACCTACAGAAGTCAATCAACTTTGACGGTTTATATTATTGAATTCAGCATAAAACTCTACACCAAATAGGTAATTTTAAGAATAAAGCCGAATTTCATAAAAAGTTATGATAGAATCCATGAGAATTTTAGAGAAAAGCATGAGTTTCATCATAACTTTTTATTGTAATTATATTTTCAGGCCAGACCCATTCATCTGGCCTAGAATTTTACGTTGAGCCCAAATCTAAAATCAGCTTTGAAAAATATTAGCCACTCTAGGAATTTTGCGGAAAATACACTGCTCCAAATAATTATAGCTCCTATGAATCTCTGAAAAACTAAGTTTTTGAAAATGTTTTATCAAAACTTTCAAAATAGAAAAGGTGTTATATTTCGATGCTAAAATTATCATAAACACCGATTTTGGATAGCAAAGCTTATAAAGAAAAATTCTGAATTTTCAAAAAATCGTTTTGGCCTTTCCACATAATTACAGCTTCACCCCTCAGAAAATGAGTAATTCTTGGATGAGCGAAGAAATCCTAAAACGTATTTTAGTAATTTAATGATAGTGATCTCGATTCTAAAACTGAAAACCGTTTTTGGCTAGTCCTTACCGTTTTCGAGATCTGGAAACTCGATTTTGTATGGAAAACGGGGTTTTCCGAGTTTTTTAACCCATAGCTTTACAGTCAAATCTTTATAATGAACTATGTTTTAAAGGTCCCTTTGTTATTTCACTATTATAGTGTGTTCCTTGCGAGTAAGTAATTACTTGAGTAAAATTTCCCGCCTGAAGGCCAGAAAAAATCAAAAATCCGCAACCTTTGCAAAATAATGCAAAAAAAGGGTCATTGACTATATATTTTGTTTGGCTTAAGTCTACAATGGGTATTAATATCATTAGGGTGGTGAGAATGAAACCAGCGTTCACATATCTTTCCAAGATTGAATAATTCAACCAATAATTGTATACCGTTCGAAAGTCCTAAATCACCTCTACAAAATAGTGCAAAGGATTTTGAATTGAATTGGTTATTGAAGACTTGGGTGACTTTTAAGTTGAGGGATCACAAATGATCATTTTCTGGAAAATGTGTTTCTGGTAATAAATGGTAATAGCCATGCCCGGGTTTTCCGTGAGAAAATACCACCAACTAAAGTTAGATGAAAATAACATAAAAGAACTCTTTTTGTAAAAGAAAAAAATAGCCCTGAATCTCAGCTATTTTTTGATACCTAAGCGCGTATTGTAGCTTAAACCAATGTCGAGAAAAACGCATTCAAAGCTAGATTACGCAACACTCCGCACCGTCATTATCGGGATGCAGTACTATTACAGTACCTATTCGATACCATGTTTAGTGCTAAAGCATAAGTTTTCAGATGATCATAAACGGGTTGATCTCTATGGAAAACACTTGGCTACGACAAACGTTGAAAATCATCGCATATGTATTTCTCGGACCGAACTGCTTTTATTTGGCATATCCGGGCGAAAAAACCTTTTTGATTGTGTCGTTTTGTCTTGGAACCAAGTAATTCTCTTACGGATACTAAAGGAGTAATCGAAAATTTTCTAATGCCTAATCAATTTAGTCTCACGGATGCGATATTTCTCCGAAAACGAATTGAGAAATCGCGAAAGAGCGAACGATCGAGAATCAGCGTGTCGGCAACGATTGAAACGCAAATGCCAAATGCGAAAAGAACGAGTTCAGTTGCCACCAATCATCGATAAATACGTTTTGTTTTTACATGTTTCCTGAATCGAATCCCGGCAAACGCTCATTTGGGCTTGATTCGTATTTTCATTATTCTCGTCGCTATCCTATCGTAAATACTCTAATAGAAGCACCCTCTATAGGAGCGTCGCGTAGTCTAAGTTTACTCTGAAACAAACGCTCATATCTCAGCACCAGTACGTTTGTTTCTGCGCACTTGGGTATCAAATTAAAGTAGAGAGGATGGGTGATTTTTCGAGATATTGTTATTTTAGCATTAACCACCGCTTAGAAAAATGATTGTAAAGTGGCAAAAAAGAGCCAATTTTCGCTGTATCCGCTGTAAGAGCTATGTCCGTCAATTTTCGGCGCGGGATCAGTTTTTTGGCAATTTTCGATGTATAATATTTAAAATTAAAGGAATTTCGATCCCGCAATAACAACTTAACTTTTAAGGCTGAAAAGCAGGTCAAATAAATTCACCCCGGACGTATTTTGTAGCATTTTTCGGGAGCTTTTGCAATGAAATATTCGATTTTATGCCTCATTTCATGAAGATGTTGTAGCCGATAAACGTTATTTTGATTATAAAAGGTTCTTCAACATTCAACCACTTTAACATTGTTAAGATAATCCTTTTCAAAAACGCTGAAAAGCTCAATGTAGAACACAGATTTACCATTCTAATGGTACAAAGCAAATTAATTTTAATAGCTTCGTTCTATCGGAAAAATATTTCAAAAAATTCGCATTTAAAACCTGACAACCTAATATTAGAAAGCCTTGAATCTCCTCTACAAAATAATGTCAAAAAAAGATTTTGAATTGGATTGGTTATTGGGGAGTTGAGTGTTAAGAAGTAACCACGAGCCTCAACTTGTGTACCTACAGCTGCTGACAACTATCGACAGATCTTTTCGCTTGAAACTTCTCCAGTATCTTAAGGATACACACTACTCAATTTTATACCAGCTACCAGCCGAGCCTCAACTTGTGTACCTACAGCTGCTGACAACTATCGCTTCCACAGATCTTTTCGCTTGAAATTTCTCCAGCATCTTCAGGATCTACATTACTTAAGAACTCAAGACTCCCAGCCGGATCAATTTTCGTTTTTTGGACTATTTTTGATAATATAAAAATAAAATTATAGATGGTTTCCGGCAAAAAAAGTTTATGAGGAGATCCAGCCCTACAAATCGCTCCTCCTTTAAAGCTATTAGGTTGAACACTGTCTTGGTAATAGCAAAGCATATTTTCTTTGAAAAGTAGCCAATTCACTGACTCACTCGCAATTCCCTTTGAATAAAAGTTCTTTATTTCCTAGTTTCCTATCCTTTTTAAACAAAACTTGGTCCACTCTGAAGCGCATTTTTTCAAAAATTCTCAAAAATGACATACAGGGAAAACGGCTGAACAGATTAGTCTGAAAATTTGAATACTCACCTCACTTTTTATGCTCTAGCTTTCCTTTATAAACATCGAAATAGGTTTCTGTGGAAGAAAGTGGTCCAATCGCACTATCTATCTTCCTTCATTTTCATTTCCGCAACTTCTTGGCCTCTAAAAAACCCCAAAAACAAAGCTTTATCCAATCTGACAACTACTTTTAGAGAGCCGAAAAACCTTTTGAATAAAAAAAACCGTAATCTAATTAGTACATTGGTTGTTTCTAAAAAGTGGAATGAAGAACTGTTACCGAGAGTGTTCAACCTAATATATGGTGTAAGATTTGTGAAACTCGATTCACGAAAAGAGCTCTTGGAAAAGCTGTTGTTTAATTTTGTTTTCGAGAGGTGTTTGAAAAAGTTTAAATTGGGAAACATAAGCCACAAACAAAAGATAAGATATTGCTTGAGAAGTTAGAACCATCCTTCAATAGGAAATATATTGAAATTATTGATTTCGGACAAGAAAAACCCTAAAACTAACACTGTGAATCGATTTCCCCGAAAACCCAGGGCACAATTTTTCTGTTCAAAAGTTTGAAGTTTTTGAACTTTTTAAAATGCAAAAACGAAGATCGTTGTGTGTCCTCTGTGTGCGAGCACAATCGCGATCGATCTGGCATACCACGCCTGCGGATATACCCCCTTTTCACTTTTCGAATTGGAAGCGTCCATTTTGGGTCATCCGGTAACCAATCCGTTGTCTGCCCCATATGGTCACCGCTTCCCAAACCTAACCCCGGCTGTAGAATTGGTTAACCCAGTTCCGGCTCATTTTGACCACTATGGCGGGTTCTCCGTCGGTTGGAATGGGATCCCAAGTGTCTGTAAAAGGATGCTGAAGGGAGCCGCTGTGAATTTTTGGATTCATCCCAAGGATTTCGGTCCGTAGGGGCAG